ACAGTTCCCTCTCCAGTGACGTGGTTTTGTGTCAGAGGGTCTTTCCTCTCCATGAGCTGTTCTGAGACATCCAGGTCAACATCCTGTTGAATCTGGAGGAAAAGAAGGGTTCTTGAGAAACAGGGAGATGTGTTGCCAGAAAAGGAGTCTTGGCCAAAAGGATGGGATTGCCAGACTGCCTGAACTCTCACTGAACCGAGGAGCAGGCTGGCCCCAAGGATCCCAGCAATCTCCAAACAGCAAGAAATATTCCAAAATCTGGATCTTTAACTGCTTTCATTATACTAATTTGGTTTAATCTCCATTTCACTTTTTCTTTTAATACATTTTTCCGTATCCTGGGGCTTTACAGTGGATATTGCAAGGGGTTAACTCTAGATAGTTTTTTCCTCTATAAAGATTGGGTGTAGAAAGTTTTAGCTTTACTTTCTTATCGTTTCTGGGAAATAAAATAATTTAATGTGCCATATTTTCCTTTTCCTTCTTTCCCTTTTTAAGGACGTGTTGTAACCTGGTGCATGAATGACTCCTTGCTCAGATAAGACGTTATGTTTTTATCCTTGGACTGTGCCCCAGGCTCCCAGTAATGCCAGCATCAGCTAAGTTGGGATCTGATTACTTGTTCTTGCCTCTTACTCAATGTCAGGCTTGATTATGCCCATTAATCTGGTTGTTTGGTTGTGGTTTTTTTTTAAACTGAGCTGTGGGCACCATCCTGCCTGATTCTCAGCAGTCTGCTACTATTACAGCAAGATTTTTCATATTTCTATAATTCTAGAATTTTGGTGGGGTTTTTTTGGGTTTTTTTTCCTTCTTTCCCTTTTTAAGGACGTGTTGTAACCTGGTGCATGAATGACTCCTTGCTCAGATAAGACGTTATGTTTTTATCCTTGGACTGTGCCCCAGGCTCCCAGTAATGCCAGCATCAGCTAAGTTGGGATCTGATTACTTGTTCTTGCCTCTTACTCAATGTCAGGCTTGATTATGCCCATTAATCTGGTTGTTTGGTTGTGGTTTTTTTTTAAACTGAGCTGTGGGCACCATCCTGCCTGATTCTCAGCAGTCTGCTACTATTACAGCAAGATTTTTCACATTTCTATAATTCTAGAATTTTGGTGGGTTTTTTTGGTTTTTTTTTGTTTGTTTGTTTTGTTTTGGGGTTTTTTTTCTTTTTTCTTTTTTTTTTTTAATGGATTTCTCACCATTAAAATAGCCATTTTGGTATTTATCAAGATTTTGGGAAGCTGTGGCTCAGAGAGGAGAAATCTGGGCTCCTGCCCTGATCTTGTTTGTTTTTGTGATCTCTCAAAGTTTTCCATCCCTCAGTCTGATGTGAGGGCTGAGGATAATTTCCAAGGCAAGTTGTGGGATGAGGATGTGCTTGGACAATTTTCATTCTGGGAAAGACAAAAGGTTATAGAGCAAAATTCGTAGTTCAGGACCAGATTTCAGCACCACATCCACACTGATAATCAGGACTGACTTGTGGAGGATGGTGTTGAGGGACAGAACGTGGCATTTGTTCCAAACAGACGTCAGCACCCTGCTCCAAACCACTCCAGCACAAAAGCAGCCCTGAAGATGGACCAAACCTTGCTGAGGTTTGGGCAGTTTCCTCTTTTTCCTCTCCCTTTTCTTACACCACTTTCTGAGGAACAGCTGCAATCCAACCAGGAGCTACTCAAGGCTGGGGCTGATTTTTTATCAATATCAGGAGAAATCAAACTCACCCAGAGGTGGCCTCACATCTGCTGAGCTCACTGTCACAGTGAAGTGACAATGGCCCAGCCAAGAGCCAGGAATCTCCAGCTGGTTTCTTCTTGCCTTGCCATGATCCACCCTGGCAGAGCAGCCAGGGAGATGGGAAGAGAAGTCAGATCCTGCCCAGACTGTGGAACAGAAAGGAGGGATTTGAGAAGAGGCTTGTGGGCTTTGTCACAGACATATCTTATGAAAAATCCTTTTCCCAAGATCTTTTCTCCTGAGAAGGTGGGAAGCTCCAGCTTCTCCATGTTTTGCTGCTTTGGAATGTGATTTGGAGAATTGTTTACCCAGCATGGGAAATTGTTTTTACTTGATGGCCAATGACAGCCACCTGTGTCGAGGCTGTGAGCAGTCACAAGGTTTTGTTATCCATTCCATTCCTTTCCAGACTTCTGATGGATCCTTTCTCTCTATTCTTTTCAGTAAAATGCTGAAAAGCATTTTAATGTAATATATATAATAATATAATAAATCAGCCTTCTGAAACATGGAGCAAGATTCTCATCTCTTCCCTCATCCTGGAACCCTTGAACACAACCATAGAGGTTGGCCAGCACTTTGTGCTGAGGCACTTCCCAGAGTGCCTTCCTTGGGTGCTCAGGCGTTCACTCACCTGCACGGGCATCTTAGGTGGATAACCAAAGGCAAAACTGGTATAACTCAATCTTCCCAGTTTAGAAATGGATGTCAATCCTCCTCCATATGGACATAATCCTCCTTTCAATGTGTTTTCCATTTATTCCTGCTTTGACTCTGAGGCTGGATATAGCTGCAGGGTGCAGGGGAAAGGGGAGAAGGGAGAAAGAACGAGAGTTAAGTTTAATAAAAATAAAATGAGCGTTCAAAGTTCGAGCTCTGGGAATGAATCAGTGTGGATTCTCCTGTGTGAGGGCACAGGGCAGGCTCTGAAGAACACATGGTCCCAATAAGACAACACTCTTATTCCTAGAAATAAAACTCAGGTGCTCTTGGGAACGCTTGCTAGACAAGATGAAGTGCAGCAAAGATAAGGACACTTTGATTGATTAAGAGAGAACACAAAGTACTGTGGGCAGGGTGTCAGAAATAACATTTATTTGGCGAGGTGAGGGCTAGGGGAAGATGTTTGCAAGCCATGGAAGCTGCACATCCATCTCTGGAGGCTGATTTCAATGGAAAGTAACTCAATGCTGCATATGGGGAGAGGTGTCTGAGAGACTCAAACTTAATGAAGGACTTGTTGGTATGCAAAATGGTGAGGCAGAAGTCCCTACATGTATTTTTGGAACAGAAGTTTTCTTCTTTTATTCATAGAAAGCCATTGAAAATCCCCTACCACTGTTGTGAAATTTTCTCTGACTGAAATGCAGCAGTAATCACATTTTGTGAACTTGCAGGGTTCAGGAAAAGGATTTTTATGCAGTGAGCATAAATCCATCAATTATCAGGTGGTTCTTGGAATCAACACTAGCCATAATATTACCTACCTGGACAGGTGGTGTTGGGATAAAAGCAATAATTTAAAGACAGAAGGCAGCAAGGCCCTTTTCTGGGTAATATATAATTAGAAACTGTGTGTTTCTGACATTATAAGCAGTGTGAAATTATGTCCTTAACATGTAATTACCATGGCAGACAGGTCAAAGTTATCTAGACCAGATGTTATTAAATCAGCTCCCTCCTTTCCTGGGTGCAGTTTGGTATTTGTGATGCACCAAACAGTAAAATATTTCTTTCCATTTTCAGGTATTTGTTATTACAATGAACATTACATTTCTACATGTTGTGACCTCCACTGTGAGGGTCTCCTTGTTCTTCCAGCTGTCATCTCCCAAAAAGATTCTCTCTGTATAGTGATTATTCATAAATAAAAATAATGCAAGACATTTCTGAAGTCCAGTGATGGACAATGACCTGATGGACATGGGAAAGCATCACCCATCATTCAGGAGGATGGAGAGGAGAAAAAACCCCAAAAAATCAGGACCTTCACCTCCTTTCTCTGCGGACAAACTCATTTTGCTTAACTGCTGCCAAACACCTTCATTTATCATTTACTCATTTTGCTTTAGAACAATGAGGTTAGCTCTTACATAACAGCCCTTTGGAGTAAATAGAAACTTAAGCAAGCTCCAGTCACTATGCTGGAAAAAATCCTTTACAACAATTTAAACAAACGAACAAACAAACTGAAAAAAAAAAAAACCAAACCACAACAACAAAAGATCAAACCCAAACCAAACGAAAAAAACATTAAAATCTCTTTCCACCAGGTTGGAATGATGGATTCTGATCTTTACACACTGTAAAGTGCAAATCACCAGAGACCCCACTGCCAGCAGTGACTTCAGGCTGGCTAATTTGTGAAATTCCCAGTTATTGCACCAAATGTTCAGCACAGATGAAACCTGACTTGGATTTGGGGAATAACTCTGAGATGTTTTACATTTTTCTGATGACCAAAGGTCAGGCTGATGACTTGTTCTTTCTGAGTTCACTTAACTTTTGTTCTTGGCTGCAGAGCCCTTGGCCAGGGCCGGAATTTCAGAAGCACAAAGGGCTCCCTTTGATTGCCAAATGTGAAGCAGCCTGAATTTCAGCTCTGTTGAGAAACGGGAGCTCCCGCTGGGAATAACAACTGGATTTGTAAAGAAGTAGCCACAGGTGATTTAGAAATAAATCCCCCTTTTTGGACTACTGAGTGAAATCTGATTAAAATCTCATTTCCCTTACATAGGGTCCAATACCTTTTAAAAACTTGTCCCTGCCTGGCAAAAGCTTGATAGCCAATACCTGATAGCTCCATGCATCAGTTGGAATTTCTCTTTGTTTTCCATAAGCAGAAGTAAATTCTCAGAAATAAGACATGCCTGCAATATTTTTGAAAAAACAAAATTAATATTTTTCCTCACATCAACAAATACTTCTATCAGTGGGCATTCCTTGTGGATGTTTCAGAGGACTTCTTGTCTCTTTGCCTTTCTGGAAAGAGATCAGCTGATCAACACTTGAAATAATTATGGAAAAACAGGATAAAACTTCAATTAATAGGTTTTTTTGTGGAAAAAATTGTTGGTTTCATTTGTAAATGAACTTTGAATTTCACTGAAGGGAAGGCAATTAAAATATTTAATAATGAACAAAATTAAAAGTACTAAAAGGGTAGAAACAAAATATTTTGGTTCTTACGTTTGTTTGCAAATGTTGAACGTGGACTCAAGTTTGGGAGCCTTGGCAACATTTTAAAAGTAAAATTAAAGTTATGTCCCAGGTAGCAAAACTGACAAATTTGTGGGAACATCAGCCTCTGTCTGAAAATTTAAGAGTTTCAATAGAGATCATATCTGGCACAATCAACCCATGAAAACATCAACTCGTTTGTGAAATTCCACCTCACCCACCAAAATTATGATGGGGCTTACTTTAATGAATTTATATTGCGTTCCACAGGTGAGATTTTAGCAGTGTTTCACTCTAAGGCAGGGAAATGTTCTTTTTCCATTTATTTCCTACAAAGATAGCAAGTTTTTCCTACTCTGGGCTTATATGAGAAAATCCAAACTCAAATAATTGCTAGTTTGGGCTGAGGTCTGCTCCATCTTGGAACAATCCATCCCAAATTCCTCCAAGCTGTTGATTTATCCAACACTGAATAGAAACTGGAAAACACAGCATTGGAATATGCTGTCCAGAGAACCAAAACATGGGGAAGAAATCATAAAATAATCAAACTTGCATTTTTTTCCCCTCATTCTCCCCTCACTGCCCTCGGGATGAGTTGTTCCCACATGTTCATCCAGATTTTGTCCATCAGAGAACCACGAGGTTGCATCAGAGCCCCTTCTCCAGATCACCATCACTCAGTTCCCCTGATTTTCACCATCCCAGACTAAGATTTCACACACGGATTGGAAAAAAATCAGTATCTCTGCAACCCCTGAAGAAAACTGGAACGTCATAGAATTATTAAGATTGGAAAGGACTTCCAAGACCATTGAGTCCACCCGTTGCCCCACTACTACCCCACGTGCCACATCCACACTTTTTTAAATCTCTGAAGGGATGGTGACTTCACCGCTTCCCTGGGCAGCCAGTCCCAACACTTGATAACCCTTTCCATGAGGAAATTTTTCCTACTATCCAATCCCAGCCTCCCCTGGCTCACTTGAGGCTGTTTCCTCTCCTGCTGTGTCCAGAGGGTGATTCATCCCAAACTCAGGTGTCCAAGGGACCTCAGAGGAACTCCACATCAGTGCCAACCTCCCTCCACGGAGCTCACGGGCAGTTTAGGTGACTTCCACTCAAACTTTATGGGAGGTGAAGTCACAGAAGATAAAATCCCCCTGCCAAGAATGAAAATGACGCACGGAGCCATCAGGAATTAGGTTGGATTCCTCCATCACGGGTGATGTGGGCCCCTGACTAAAGCAAATAACAAACTGCAAATAAATAAATAACAAGGAGTAAATCGCAAACAGCTAAGAAATAAAAAAATAACAAATAAATAGCAAATAAATAGCAAATATCCCAGACAGGGCTGGCAGCAGGAGAGGAGAGAGGAGCCAGGGAGAGCATTACCTCACCGCTGTAGCCAGAGTAGGCATGGGACTCATCTGGAGCACTCCACTGCCTCTGGGCAAGATTTTGGCTTTTCCTGCTGAAAACTCTGTTTAGTCAGGAGCAACCAGCCTCGAGGAGAGTATTTGCTGTGACTCCCATGTCCCCTGTGAGCAACATTCCTGCCACCTCGAGCTTTCTGGGCTGCGGTGTTGACACTTCTTCAGCTCTGTCATTAGCTCAGCTGAGGAGAGAACAGAAATGCTATTCAAGCCCCAGCTCCAACGTGGGAGGTTAGGAGTGCAAATCCTTGCCTTGCACTGAAAACACGATGAGTGTTTTATGTTGGTGTTGTGCTTTCTATTTTAGGGAATGCCTTTGTTAGGTTACAAGCCCTTTCCTAGCACATAAAACACCATTTTTAAGAGGTTCTTCTATCACAGCTATACTCATTTATTCTGATCTGTAATCTCCCACATCCCCAAAAATTAACCCAGGACTTGGGTTTTGACTTATATCTTACAAATTTCTAGTTTTGGATTCAAAAGCATTTACCTTGTCCCTTGTTTTTCTTTTGCATTTTAAGATTCCTCTGGTGGAATCTGGATCCAGTTTGCTCACAATGGAGATTCAAATGTCACCAAAATTCACCTTTTGGATGTAAGGGTTATTTTATTTTTTCTGTAAACCATTCTCCTCAGTGTCTTCACACTGTATTTTTGTTTTATGAGATGAACCAACAGATTGTATTTCAGAGAATCACCAAGGGTGGGTTGACCTTTGACTGTGATCACAGAATCATCAGCAGCTTTACAGTAAACTGAACAACGTTCCTTCCAGGGAAATGAGGCAGCATTTCTTGGGGTAGTTTTGATTTCTGTTTCTGTCCCCCAGATTTTCTCTCTTTGCCCTTCTTCAGACAAGTTAATAATTCAGGACAAAGATGGAATTCCTCCAAAATGCTCAAATACCCCTTTCAGTGTTGCCTGCTAAGTAAACTAAGTGCAAATATAAAAATTTCAGAGAGAAGATAGACCACTCAAAAAAAGCCAAGACAAAACCCAAAGGTTAAGTCCATTTTATCTGCAACAATCCATTATATATTTGTACATCTGACCTCGCAGCTCATTCACACACACAAACGTTTTGTTGGAGCTCAGCATTAGGGTAAAAGGGAGAAGTCCTCAACCAACATTTTAAGCATTCTGGAGAAAAAATTTTCCATTTCTGCAGGGAACTGGAAAGCTGAAACAGGCACGAACCTAAATAAATATTGATTTTATTTTTAAAATTATGGATTACCTAAAATGTTTATTGTGTTTAAATTAAGGGGGCTTTGGAGTAAACATCTATGAGTTATAATAGCATCAAAGGGGTAAAGTCAAGAAGAAAAATGAGAAAAACTTCCAGAAAAGATCACAAAATTATAGAATATCCTGAGTTGAAAGGGACAAGAATCATTGAGTTCAACTCCAAGTCCAATAGCTTGTTCTAAAGTTCTGAGGCACAGGACCAATCCCCATTTTATCTCTTTTTAAAGCAAGAGAATGAGTAACCCCAGTAATTCTGGGTCTCACTCTTTATCTGTGCACCCAGAAGTCATTGAAAATACCCATCTCAGCTGGACATGGAGAGACAGAAAATGGGACTCATCAGCAAATATTTAATCCATCACTGTTGTTTAGTAGCTTATGCTGAGATTCCTTCACAAAGCAGAGCTCTGAGGGACATTAAGGCACTGCAGCCTCTGGGAATGTGGGAAAGAAATGCTGCTGTTGGATGGGGGCATTGTTGTACCCTTCCAGTCCTCAGCACACTCCATGTGTGAATCATCTCTAACAGGCTCCCAGGCCTCTATCCCAGGGAGACTTTTCCTTTTTTCTTATTTCTAGTGAGGGATAGCTTTTAAAAATGCTTTAGGGACCATAGAGAAAGCATAGGTACAGCATAAAAGTTCAGCAATGTCCATGAGGAAAGCTGTGGTGGTTCCTCATCAGTGAGACACCTCTTGCTCAACCCCAGGGGTTTCAGGATTATCTGTGCATCTGTTGGAGAGAGCATTTGGTGATAGAACAAAGGGGTGATGGCTTTAAACTGCAAAAATTAGGTTTAGATGGGGTATTAGGAAAAATTCTTCCCTGTGAGGGTGGGCAGGCCCTGGCACAGGGTGCCCAGAGCAGCTGTGGCTGCCCCTGGATCCCTGGCAGTGCCCAAGGCCAGGCTGGACAGGGCTTGGAGCAGCCTGGGATGGTGGAAGGTGTCCCTGCCATGGCTGGGGAGGGAATGGAATGACCCTTAAAATCCCTTCCAACCCAAACCATCCTTCATAATCCAAAATGACAAGTTATTTTTAAAGTATTTGGGGCAAATTCAGACAGATTTTCCTTTCTAAGAGATTCTCCCCCGCATAAAAAAGGCAGCGCACAGACATACTGACGTGTGGAAAGATGCTTTTCATGACTTTAAATTGAAGAAATTACTGTAAACATCCAGCTATATTTTCCCCATAATATCCACTTTTGAACACTTCAGTCTCTTCCAGACTGTCTTACTCATAATTGCTGCCCTCTTAGTGGGCATAGTGAAAGCAAGTGACTGTTTGCCAAGTGACAAACACCCATCTCCAAACCCCTGAGCCTCACAGATATTTTCAGGAAGCTGTAACCCCTGATAAATCTCTGCAGACCACTGAGATGAATAATATTTGTGGATGCATTTTTGAGGCTGCCATACTGGAGAGGTATTTGTGGATGTGGGCTTTGCCACTCACATGGAAAAGTATGTTTTCCCTATATCCATCCTATAGGCTATATTTTGCACATCTGCCTTTAATTAGAACCATTTCATATCTTCAGGAATATGTGCCATCGAATGAATCATTTAGAAATTGGAGTTAACCAGCAAATTATACACTCCTCTGTTTTCTTCATTCATGAATTGCCAGTGTCAAAATTCCCTCGGGGCAGAGTTTTTAGCAAATCTGGTGAACCCAAAGGTATGGTAAATGTCACAGGCTCGGGGGGACAGATCAGCCCTGCATTTTTACACCATACACCTATTTTCAACAGCTATTTTTCCACTGACACATGGAATAACCAAATCTCTGTCCTCCTGTTTGTTTGGGATTTTCTCCCCCAGATATTTCAGGGAAAAAAGTCTTAAATTGTGGAAGAGCTCTCCAAGCCAAGCTTCATTTCTGATTTCAGTGATGTTTAGAGCATTGCATGGGGTTGTTATTCCATGGTCCCTTGCTGAAACAGGTCACTGTGGCCTCCCCTGTTAAAAGCTGCCTGCCAATTACATTTTGCTCCAGGCCAGAATTCTGCATAAAAACACCAATGAATTACTAGCTGAGGGAAAAGGCTCTTTATTGCTCTTATTTATACTTCAGCAGCACTTAGGGGGTGGGAACTCCCAGCCCAGGTGTGCTCAGAAAAAAGAAACATCCCTGCTGATAAAAACTGCAGCAGACAAGAGGTGAGGAGGAGAAGGAAAAGGGAAACCTGACCAGCTCAGTGCCACCAAATAAAGTCACTGCATTGTGAGAATCACCCAAATGTGACCTCACTGCATGGAGAGAGTTTAACCAGCTAAGTGTTTGAATTAAAAAGGAGCTGATCCACAGAACTGATTTCAGCATGAAAATAATGGAACAATCCCTGAAAATTATTCAGCAAAATCTCACGAGCCGATGGAGTCTCCATGAACTGACCAAGCACTGGAACAATTTCACCATGATTTTTTTTTATTATTTATTTATACTTAAGCAGCACTTAGAGGGTGCTCAGGGAAAAGAAACATCCCTGCTGATAACAACTGCAGCAGACAGGAGGTCAGGAGGAGAAGGAAGAGGGAGAGCACACCAGCTCAGTCTCACCAAATAAAGTCTCTGCATTGTGAGAACCACCCGAGTCTGACCTCACTGCATGGAGAGTTTAACCAGCTAATTGCTTCAATTTAAAAGGAGCTGTTCCACAGAACTGATTTCACCACGAAAATGAGAAAGAATGGAACAATCCCTGAAAATTATTCAGCAGCATCTCATGAGCCAGTGGAGCCTCCATGAACTCGGAGAGAAACACCATCACCAAGGGATGGAACAATTTTTTTTCTGGCCTGAATTTCATTGATGGGTATACAAGGCATATATAAAACAAATTACCTGTCACTCTGGAACTCTGTTTTCCCAATTTTATACAACAGCTTGTCTCTTCTTCCTCCTGGACATCTCCAGCCTTGCTGCTTTCTTCCAGCCAGGACTTTCTAACTGGCATTGGCCCCCAGGAATAACAACCAGCCTGGCAGCCACAAGCAATTTATGCTCCACAGTTGCAATATTCCCTTTATGCACTTAGGTTTTGGCCCATTTTTCTCTCTAGAAGATTATGCAATGCTAATTAACTTTTTTTTTTCCAGGAGAGTTGATAGAAACACATCCAAAGGCATATTTCCCTAGGCAATAGCCTGCTTTAATAAATTCTGGTTGCACTGGAAATATTTGTATTTTAATCTGCAAAACAGAGATTAGGCAAAAGTTCCTAATATTGCTTGAGCACTTCAAGCCAAGGAACAACTCCATTGTGCTTTAAATTAAACATGTGATTCTCATGGCATTCTAAAGGGGGGTAGATAAATTTCTTCCCCAAATGTATGGTCCAGTTGTATACTCATGAGTTTAGATCGAGATATTAAGAAAATAACCAACATTTGCTGTGTGTACAGTAGGTGACACACTGATGCATTGCTAAACCCACCCTGCTGATCAAGTGGGTTTATCTTTGCAGAAATTTAATCTAATCCTTACCTGAAAAATAAATCCCAGACAAGAACAATAAGGCTAAGGGGCTTTCAGAGAAAGCAATTCTTACTTAGGCAAGATGGATAAATTAAATAATGAAACACACACCTTCAAAAATTATTTTTCTGTGTTCTTTAAACAGGCAGATCCATAGACATTGGGATAATCTATAGACAATCAGATTTAGTTACTGGATAACTTATCCCAGTAAGAAATACCCACAAATTAGGGGGGAAATCCCTTCTCTTTCTTCTGTGCTACAGCAGCAGCATTGAAACCACCTCACCTAAAGCAGGGTTATTCTGGATTTACCATCATTCTGAACAGAATACCTCCCAATTAAACCCACTCAGAACATCAAGAAATCCTGCTGGTAACACCAAAACCTTTTTGCTTCATTTGTTCTCACTTTTCAGTAGCTCAAGGACACTCAGCATCAGCCAGGGATACCCTGGTGAGCATGGGAACCTTTCCTGGTGCAAACAGAGCTTTTCCAAGACCTTGAGCACAGATATCAGCTTGGCTAATTGAACAAAGCCCACTTAAAAAACCTTGATCAAGCAGTAGATGAGGTGCTCAGGCTTTCCTCTCACTCCAGATGGCAGCAGAGATGCTGACTCACCCAGCAGGGCTGGGCTTGTTTCCTGCACCTCCAGCGGGGCTGCTCCCAGCGCCTGGAAACAGCTTCCCTCTGGAATGGAACAGGGCAGAACCCAGCAGAAAACACAGCAAGGGAGTCAGGAGTGGGTTCCGGATGCTCCTTCCCGTGTCCTGTTGCTCCTGGCCTCCTCCCCTGCTTTCCACGCAGCAGCACATGATGTTTGCACAGCCTCCTTGCAGAAATCACTTGTCTCCAGGCTGCAGCATCGGAGAGACAAACTGGAGGAGTATCCTGGAAAAGGAGGAATGGGTGATGTGAAACAGATGTTTTCTCTTAATTGCTTACTGCAGAGGCAGCCCAGTAACTAATCCACCTGCTGTGTTCCCACTGGGATAATTACTCACCCCGTGCTCCCAGCCAGCTGAATTTATGTTTTCCATGCCTCATTATATCCATCTCTGCCCAACAACATGCCCCAAAGTGCTGCACAAAGTGCCACACTCATACAAATACCCATCTCCTTCTCACCCAGAGCAGCTGTGGCTGCCCCTGGATCCCTGGAAGGGTCCAAGGCCAGGTTGGACACTGGGGCTTGGAGCACCCTGGGACAGTGGAAGGTGGATTGGAACAAGAGAAGTCTTAAGGTCCCTTCCAACCCAAACCATTCTGTGACTCTGCAGCTCTGGGTACAGAGCTAGAATGCTTTCAATGAGAAAAGGTGTTTTCAAATTGCTTAGATACAGAGATTCACATGGCAAGAAGGGTTTTCCAGAGAATCTGGAGGTGTTAATTAAAAATAATAGTATGGTTCATGTGAGAGGAGAGCTTCCCAATCAATCACAGCAGTAAATAATTCATGTCTGAAATCCCTGTTTCTTCTAAGACCCCTTTTGTCATAGGAAGTGATCAGAAACACACAGTGAAGGTTTCTGAGTATCCAGGTGATGTTAGTGCTGATTTTTAACTTGCTCACACATTGCTATTCTGAGTCACGTTCAGCACAGAGAAATGGTTGTTTTTTACCCATCATTTTCCCCAAATATTTCAAGGCTTGCACTCAAAGGTGCTGCTCAGTGAGGAGAGAAGCCCTTGGTAGTGAGTTCTGAGGCAATTAACAGTTACAAAAAGTTAATTGAATGAAGAAAAACAGAAGTTTCAAGGGATCTCTGCTTCTCACCTAGACTTGGAAGCAGGGGCATCCCACATCTCCAGTGCTCCAAGAGGAGCACTGGATCCTTCTCACTGCCAGAGGAATTTGATTTTGATGGAGTAGATGGTGCACAAGTGATAGGAGGAGAAAAATTGTCACTGACTGGACTCGATAGGGCTGGAAACAGAACATGACCTGAGCTCCAGGCTTGGTTCTGCTCCTTGTTAGCACAGCCTTCCTCTTTCCTTCTTTTCCAGAGAGCTACTTATTTCAGAGCCTCAGGCGAGAGCCAGCACCAGCTGGAGATAATTTAGTCCTACTTCACTAATGTTGATGTCTCTGGATTTAATATTGGCTTTTCTGGAACCCTCCTAGGGCTCTTTGGCTTGGCGAGGTGGCTCAGGTAGTTATCCTGAGCATAATATTTTTTTAACCAAGCGGGTGCAGATCTATTTCAAATACAAAACAGGAATCTGCTCATCCAGGACTAACAAAGCTCCCCAAACTCTTCCCCTGCTGAATGCTCAGCAGCCCTCAGCTCTGGGGAACATCTTCAAAAGCCTTTCAGGCTTAACTAAAGCCTGCTGGAGTAACACTCAAAAGTAAAATGAAGTCCTCAGAGGGAAAATTCAGTGGCTGGAGAGATGGATGTGGATGGAAGTGGATGTGCTGGGAATGCAGAGAGCTTTGTCAGGGGGGTCACCAAGGGCTTTGCTCAGTGGAAGAGGCATCCAGGTGCAGCCAGAGAGCCCCCAGTGCTCTGCCCATGGTTCCTGGGAATACCTGAGCCAGGGTGATGCCTTGGGAAGGCTGAGCTAGAACAGAGGCTGGACAGAGCTAAAGAATAAAGCAGGGATTTATTAAAAGGATCTCCTCAATGGATCCACCTTGGGCAGCACAAGAGCCCGGCCAGGGCTGCACCCAAGATGAACCCAAATGGTCCCAAAATGAACCCAAGATGAACCAAAATGGTCCCAAAATTGACAACTGGTCACAAGATCTCTCCCTGGGCTCAGCTCTGCTCCATGTGCACATTGCAGTTCAGTGTCCAGTTCCAGCTGCAGCCCCTGCAGTCCCATTGTTCTTGTTTTTCTCTCTGCAGCCCACGGGGTTTGTGCTCCTGGGCTGAGATTTGGATCATTTGTCCTTGGTGCCCAGCTGGAGCAGGAATTGTTTTGTCTCCCTGCTCTGTGCACAGAGCTCACCATCCCCTGATGTGAAGCTCAGACCCACACACTGAAGCAGCACAGAATGTGATAAAATAGAAAAGCTAAAACCTGAGGCATCAAGGGGACCTGAGCAATGGCCTAGGGAAGAGCTGGGATGGAGCCCAGATAGAGCAAGTTTTGAGAAGAGCAGACAATAAAAAGCTGAGGCTCACCACAACAGCATTTGCTCACACCCTTGTGCCTGGGGACAGGCACAAACCCATGAGCTGAAATCCCTGGCAAACCAGAAATCCAGAGGGAGATTCAAACATTGCCCCTTGCCAGACTGGCCATGGAATATTCTCCTGCACTGCTGCTCCTGAGCTCTGTCCAAGGGTGTTCCCAGCCTGGTGTATCTCTGTGCAGGATGATTTGGGACAGAGATGGAAAGGAGATCCCAAATGTGTCCCCATCACTGCTATAAACACCATGGGTGTTATCCCAGGAGCAGGACACAGAAAGGGCACAAAGAGACTGAAGAAACCTGTAGGTTTACAGTAACTTTGGTTTTCCAGACTCCTCTCAGTCACACCCAGCAAATCCAAATTTAAAATATATTTTTTGCTTTCATTTCTAACTGTTCAGTTGGATGCCTGCCTTGCACATGGGTGTGGTGGGAAATGTTGGTGTGATATATATCACAAACAGAGGTTTTCCTTCAAGCCTCTCAAAATCTCATCTGTTTTATCAGTGGCTGCTGTTACTTCCAGTTATTTATGCAGGTAACTGCAGTCCCATTACTTGCCAGTGGCATGGAAAAGCCCTGGAATTAACCCAGCAGTTTTGATGTCTGCAGTAATTGTACCCTGCCTCCTCTTTCATGAAGAGAAAAAAATTGCTACAATACTCAAGATAAAACAAATAAATCCAATATAAAAGCCCATCTAATTGAATTAAATGAAAGTAGCCTCTCAGACTGCCCTTTCTGTGAATCACATTATCTTCATGTTTACTGACTCTTTGACAGGAGACTAAATGATCCCAAATTTTATCAGAATAAATCAACCAAACAAAAAAAATCCCTTCTAAAAAGGACAGACGTTCTTAACAGTCATCTGGAACAGATTATTCCTCTCCAAGTAGCATTGTTGATACTGAAAGTGTTGTAACAATATCCTTTTCTAATGTGGTTCTGCTGAGGCTCCATCCATAATAAAACCAGTCAGTGCCAAAAAACCCACTTAGCATGAGAAGCTCCCCAAAACCTGGATTATTTGTGTAAGACTCTGATTTGACTTTCCAAGCTCCATTATCTGATGAAGTTTCTTTTAATATTTTTTAAAGGAGACCAAGGAATGAGCATCACCTCATCTGGGGAAATGTTTTTGCTGAACCATACACCCTCCAAGTCCTTGTAAATCCCAAATGCCACTAAAGAGAGATGGAGACTGGAAATCAAAACAATTTTCCCTGTTTCCAGCCTTGTAAAGCCTAAAATAAGTGCACCTTTTTTTATTTTCTTGAGTATAAGTTGTCAGCTGAGCAGTAGGGCTGCATTCAAAGGTTACAACAGATACAGCAGAATGTGCATCAGTCTCATAAATGATGGATAAATATCAATCAAAGAACGCCACCTTTACACCAAGATAGTCAGAAAAATCCAATAACATTGAGGGCTCAAAAGGAGGCAACTGAAACAAAACTACCCAGCAGAAAGAGCTGAACACTCACCAATTTTTTAGCTCAAATGGATGAAAGAGTGCTCTACCAGGATCCCAAATAAAGGCATTTCTACCACATTAATGGTGAACAGTGCTGGGAAGGTGCCTTCTCTTCCTAAAAACCATCTCCACTTCTGCCACCTCACAGATATTTGTGTCTCATTGCCCAGCACGTTTCTGTCCCAAGCCATAAAGAAGTGATCAGGGACAGAGAGATAAGGACTGCAATTCCCTAGGAAAATGGCATTTAAAATTATAGAAGTTCCATGATTTTCACCCTATTTTTACTTTTTTCCCATTGCTCACTTGCTGATCTGTTCCTGTCCTACTTATACAATTTCAGTTTCTCTAGATGTAAACGTTCATGGTTACACCAAAAAATAGTTATTCTTCAAACTAAAAGTTCTTCAGAACTTCATGGGGAAAAACAAGTAAAACATCATAACAGAGCCTGTTAGATGCTGGACATTACCAGTTCCAGCTGTTCTATCAGCCAAACACTTCCAAACCATTTAGCCCAGAGCAGCAAATCTCAATGAAAAACTGATCAAAAAAAAACCAAAAAGAGAAAGAGAGGGGATGAGAAAAGTCAGAGCCACTTCAGAACCTCTTTGAAGTGTTAGCCTGCTGTTCCCCGAGGTCACTGTGCTGTGCCTCAGCCCAAATGCCATCCCCTGGCAGAGGATGAGGAGCCCTGGGTGCAGCTCTGCATTGTTCGCGTGCGCACGGGGAGCGGAGCCCGCGCTCCGCCAGGAGCCGAGAACCAGCCAGCCACTCCTGTCCCTGTGGTTGTTGGCAACTTGTGGGACAAAACATGGCTTGGAGTCACAACAGGACCTGGGCTCCCCTCCCTCCAGCCCTGCCACCCTCGGTGGGAGCCAGCTGGGAGCCTTTCTTCTCGTTCTCTTTGTTGTCTGTGGTGCCTGATAGCAGAGGTCCTGCCAGCCTACAACTGGAAACAAGAGCTGTGCCTTTGTGCTCTGTCTGCCCAGAGATAGGGCAGTAATTTATGAAGCCAGCATGCCAAGGACTTGCCAGCAATGTCAAAAGCAAGTTCATAATAAATTACTCTTTTTGGGGCACTTCCTTCACTTGCCAGTGGAGGAAAAGCAAAGAAAAATGACAAAGAGCCCCTCTAGTTTCCTTCAGACAACTGTGATTTATTACAGGCGAAACAAGGAGGATTCCAAAAACATTACTCCTATAAGGGAAGGTAACTCAATCTCCAGCAAAAATAAACAGCCATGTTTAAATAAACCTTCTGAGAAGTGCTACTGCCCTTTTCCCTAGAAATTGGGGGAGCATTTCTTTGCCCTGATATTGTTCTGCTGTGTGAGACGCTGACCCAGGGATCTCATCTGCTTTGGGTGGCCTGGTAAGTCATCAAAGGATAAAAGGCAGAGAACAAAGGGGAAAATAAAAGTATTATGAGCTGCAGCTGAAGTGCCTGACAGATGTTGGGTGGCTACTTGTGGGAACTGCCTTCCATCTCTGGAGCAGAGGGTTCACCCTGCTCACTGCCCAGGCTCCTGCTCCTGGTGGGGAAGGGTGGGATGGGCAAGGTCTTTCCCCAGGACACCACCCCAGAGGCCACTGGTCAGTGGTTTAGGGACTTCCCCCAGCTCTCCCATGAACAGTGAATTCAATAAATCACAGCAACACCTAGGTCACATACCCTGCAAGGGTCCTCACAGGCTTTAGAGCTTTCAGCAGTACCAACAAACCCAGGAACAATCCATGGCTCAGAGGACATGGCTCAGAATCCATCCCCTCTGCACTGACACTCTCCTGACCTTTCTTTCTCCCTAGTGGGAAAGGTGGGAAGGTTAAATCCCACCTTGTTTCCTCCTCTCCTTTGGCACCAGGACGGCACACTGCCCAACACAACCAATAGAAGTGGGTTAAAAGAGTTTGGGAACAAATGCAGACCTTCTAGAGAAGCCAAGTCATGGGCATCGAGCCTGGCAAAGCTTCTGGAGAGATGGCATCCACCTGCCCACTGGCTGAAGTCCTGCTTTTGCTCCTTATCACGCACGCAGCACCCCAGCCTCTGCTGGCGTGATGTGTGAGAATTGCTGTGCTCCCCAGAGCCCTTGCACAACCACAGGATTTACTGCCTCCCCTCAGTGTGATCCCAAGGCACGCCCTCTGCCTCCTCTGCTGCTGGCCTTGCTCTTTGCTTGACTTCCTTATTCCAGAATCGCTCCCTAATTAACAGGAGCTATTAGGAAAACTCACTGCAGGAATGCCAGTCCCGTTCTCTCCACTGAGATAAGACATGATTAATGGCACGAGGCAAATTAGTTATACAGCTGCTGAGGTCTGGGGATCTCTTACTTGCTGTGAACACATCAGACTCAGGGTGGATTTTTTTCTTATTGAGCTTATTGTGCTTTAGGAAGAGAAAGGTAATTAAACCAGCCTTTTCTATCACACTTTAAAGTAGTAGGGTAAAGGAGTGGGGAGAAAAATTGCAAGACTTGTTCTTTGTGGATTTCTGTGATGATGAAAAGGCTGGCAAGGATAATTTATGAATTAATAGTGATCTGAGCTGCTGTGGTCAGCTGAGAACAAGAGCTCGCCCATTGCTTCAGGCAAACCAGGCAGGGTTAAATCCCTGAGGAGCCCAGGCAGCTGAGACATCCCAAGTGCAGAGCAGGCAGTGCTGCCAAGGCTCCTTTTCCAGCCCATGGAGACAGCAGGACACCTTGGCCCAGGCTCCAAAATAGCTGGCATGGCAATCAGGGAGCTGCTGTCCAAGAGAAAATGCCAAGGGGAGAGGCATGCCTGCAGTCTGTGCTATCCATCCATGGCTGGATAAACACCCTGAGGAAGGGTCCTGAGGACAACCACAGCCCTCACCTGCTCATTCAGTGCTAGAGGAGTCACCTTGGAGGTGTGGGACACCTCCCTTACCCCTGGGCCAAGAATTCCTCCTGTGTCCCATGCCCTGGTGCCAGCCCTTGTCTCTGTGGATGGCCACGCTCTGGCTCAGCTCTCAATCAACTCTCCAGACTGAGCTCTGTGACTAAAAATGCTCTGGGAACACCCTCCCCTTGTAGCCAGAGGCCCCTGGAGAAGGCAGGAAAAATGGAGGGATGCTCATGGGCCCAGGATGGGAATGAGGAGATGGACACCTGTGTCTCTGCCCCACCTTCCCCGAGGGCAGTGACGGTCAGCTTGCCCAGGAGCATCAGCAGAAGGGACACTGTGCTGCCCCAGGAATCTCCTGGTGGACATGGACGTGGGTTTTCAGGGGCTTTCTAACTGGGCAGCAAGCCAAAGATGGGAAGATTAAGGATCTATATTTTGGACTGAGGCACTGTGAGCTAAACCACCATCAACCAACATTTTCCATTGGTGACTTCAGCCCTAAGTGCCTAAACTCTGCTTGGGAGACCCAGCTGATCAGCCCAAGCCCCTGTGAGGCAGGAGGCACACCTGAGACCCTCTGGAACTCCTGGAGCACACAGCCTGCACAAATAACCCTGCAGGAAAGCTCCATTTCAAAGTAGCTTACAGTGAAAATAAAGCACTTCAGCACAAGTTGTTCTCCAGAGTACATACCTGTAAGCATGTGTTGTTGTGATCTTTTTGTATAATTTCCCAGACTGATTAGAAATGAACCTATTAAAAAAAAAAAGAAAAAAATATCTTCAGAGTGGTCAGGAAAGCCCCACCTGAGTCATGTTCTCTGGCTTCTCAGCCTGGGCTCCTGTGGTGTGAATTGTGTCACACATCCCAATACAGCTTCAAAGGAGACTCTTGAAAGAACTCAGAAACCACCACCATAAACTGACTAAAAGAGTATTTTAAGAAGTATTTTAATAAGTCAACTCAAATACCTTTCAGATACAACACTGAACTGCAGGGCTTTTTTCTTTTTTCCCCATGGAATAGTCAGTTTTATTTCCCCCCAAAAATTGAATACTTACACTTCTGATCCCAGTTCTTTCTGGCAGCTTTCACATTTGCATTATTTGGCAACACAGCAAGGATTATGAGGCTTCCTGATGTCCTCCTCCTCCCTGAAAAAGAACACATGGCTGACGTAAAGTTTTTGATTTTAATATTTGGGCACACAACCAGTGGGGATCTCTTACCTGCTTTGTTGTCACTTCTTGTGCTTTGCCTGCCTCACTGATCTGATAAAATGCAGTGCCAATGGAACAGATTTATATCAGGGAGGATTTATCCTGGAAAGTAGGATCCTCTCCCCATAAATATTCTCTAAAACGGAGAAGAAAACAGAGGAAAGAAAACACAACAGCTACCAGATGACAAGTTATTATTTTCCTGGATTGGTTGGAACAGGGAGCACATCCAGGTTATTGTGAAGGTTTGGTACCTCCTTAACATTTTTGGTTCAAAAGGTACCTCTTAGTCTGGGCCTTTTTGGGCAGATCACCACAGAAAAGGTGAATGGAAATCCACTGACTGAAGAGTGTGCATTTGCAACACTGAGAGATATCAGCCAGCCATAAAAGAGCTGTAAACCAATATTTCATATCTGTCACACCAGTAGCCATAAGCAATTTGTGATACTCTCACGTGCCTGATCCGTGACATCTTTTATGACTTTATCTGCAGATTTCCTCAGACCTGGAAGTGTCCAAGGCCAGCTTGGATGGGGGTTGGAGCAACCTGGCATAGAGGAAGTGTGAGGAATGGATTTGTAAAGAATTCTCCAAACCTGACAGAAAGCTCACACACTTTTGTGCATCTGTGTGCAAACACTGAGATAAGGTGTGCTGACTCAGGAAGGCCACAGAGTAGAGATGATATTGCTGAGAGAGAGATTAAACTGGAAAGAAGTTTTAATAAGTTTCAAAATAATGTCTTACAAAAATATTAGATATTTTAGAGAATTAGAAGTGTTAAAGATGCATTGTAGTTGGAGTAGGAGTAGAGAAAAATATAGGTGATTGGTGTTAGTAGTAATAGGGTGTCTCACTATTCATGGAGACTGATAATGGAATAAAATCTTTTAAAATGCCTCTCAGTTACCCCAAATCTAGAAAAAAAAAAACTAAAAAATCCATCAAGGAAGGTGTTCCTGGCCATGGCAGGGGGTAGAAAAAGATGAGGTTTAAGGACTCTTCCAACCCAAACCATTCTGTGATCCCATGATATTCCCAGTATCTGAGCACTAAGGCTATTTCTCTTCAACCCCAGGAAATTAAATCAGCCTGAACAAACCTGTGTCTCCCACCAGCCAGGTTTCACAGCATCCTGGAATGCTGGACCCACCATAGGAAAGGCAGGGGTGTGGAATTGGTGTCTGTCTCAATAAATGCTTCCTACCAAGCAAAGGCTTCACACCTGAGTAAAGACTCAGGTAGGGTCTGCTCCCAAATTACCTCACCTCTGCATTCCCACCTCCTCCAGGCCACTCTCCAGGCCTGCCCCTGATGCTCTATAGTTGATACAACCTTCTCTTATTATCCTGTTACTGTCTTTAAAACTTCCATCTCCTCATCACTGCCACATTTTTAGTAAATTTACAGGCACGGGTATTTTTTAGCTGTTTAAGAACATTTACTGATGGAAATTTAGATTTCCCTGGCAGCAGAGTATGGGGTTTGCAGCTGTAAAATTTAATTAAACCACTAAAGGAGGGATAAAATAGGACTAATTGTTGTGCCCAGGCTAAAAGTAGCTTGGCTGACATCACCTGGGCAGCAAACAGAAAACCAGGGAGCTCCACACATCTCCCACACTTGGCTGGAGACTTTGGTGCAAGGAAAGACAAACTCCCCACTGACCTGGATGAGTCTGTGCCCTCTCCACATCAGGAACAAAGACATTAAAGTCTCTCAAAGTCTGACCTTGAGGATGATCTTTCCTGTTTAATTTAACTGCCCTAAAACTTGGGAGTAGAACTGCAATTTCAAACTGGTAATTACTTGGCAAGTAAATAAACTACAGCAGCGCTGGACCCTGAAAAGTTAAACTAGCATGTGAGCTTTCATTAAGTACTTTATTCATACTTGTTTTCTACAGAAAACTTCCAAATTTGAATTAAAACAGAAGAGTCAGCAGGAGGAGAAAGTGCAAGCTAAGTGCAAGATATTTCTTTTGCTTTCAGTTGCTGCATTAAGAACAAGAAGCCAGGGGGAAAATATTAAATAAACACTAGGAAATCCTAAGGTTTTGATGTTTCATGACAATTGTTTTCAGATGGATAGACATGAAATAATCCCACATCAGACGAACTGTGGCTGACATGCCTGCCACCAGGTATGGTCCAAGAGAGGCAGATATGGAGGAAGTGGTGAAAGGGAGGATAAATCATTTAGCCAAAACCCACTCCCAGTTCCTCCAGTCCATTGCAGTGAGTGCTGAGGGTTGTTAACACCCACACCTCTCCACTCCGTGGTGTTTGTCAGGATTTTCTTCCAGCAGCATTCCTGAAAGGTCACCACTGGCAGAAGCATCCTGCTGTAAAACCTGTCCTCAAACACCTGCGGAACAAACTGGTTTTCCAGCAAGATCAGAAGCTGGACTGGGCTGGAGGATGCTGAGGGTGAGACCTGAGTGAGGAATTTGTGTTGCTCAGAAGCTCAGGGAGTTAAACCTCACTCAGGTGACAGCACCAGAGAGTGGCACTGCCACAGCTCCTCTTGAAGGAGCACCAGGGAAGAGCATTCCCACAGATCCCAGCAGGTCTCTGGCCACAGTCTATGGAGAGGCTTTGGTAGCCCATGGAATGGCACCCCTGAAGGTTTTCCATCTCTAGAGGAGATTGTTTTGAGCAGCACTTGGAAATGGCAGCATCAAGCTAAACCTGTTCAAAATGAAGAATCGACCTGGAGGAGCTAATTCAGAAAAGGGGTGTGAATTCCAGTAAATAACAATGGGAGATCAGTGTTCCTGTTCCTCACAGCTGCAGGAGGAAAAAGCCAAGATCTGTCTGTTCCAGGTCATCTGTTTCAAGACATCCAGGAAACAAGCTGCCCGTGAAGTTAGGCAGGACACTCAGGCACTCAATTTCATCCTGGAGAGCAAACAATAAGGAGAAGGAATTTCTTGCCTTGCCTTTCCTGAAATCTGAACTGCTGTTAACCAGCCCTGTTGAACAACAAACCCACGATCCCATCCCACACAGCATCTCTGGATTCAGCAGAAGGAAACCTGGGATTTGGGGATTTCTGTCTCCAGAGAGGGGCCCCCTTCTGCCATTCCCAGCCACGGAACACACCACAATTCATGTTCTCTACCACAGCCCTTTGAGGAGCAAAGGAAGACATTTCTCCAAGACTTCTGTCTTCCAGGAATTGAAACATAACACAGATTTATTCACAAGTTTCTTCCAGGGTTGGCAAAGGCAAGGAGAGTTGGAAAGGCAGGAGCATTTCTTGTAGGTGAGGTCCCTTCTGAAGGGTCCACATAACCCATTATTACCACAGCTTGCATTGAATGTTTCCTTTTAGCAATGAAATTTAAGGCTGAAATCTGGAAACATAACACAGATTTATTCACGTTTCTTCCAGGGGTGGCAAAGGGAAGGAGAGTTGGAAAGGCAGGAGCATTTCTAGTAGGTGAGGTCCCTTCTGAAGGGTCCACATAACCCATGCCAGTATTACCACAGCTTGCATTGAATGTTTCCTTTTAGCAATGAAATTTAAGGCTGAAATCTGAGCTCTTGGGACCCTGGTAACTTAACAACAAAAACTCAGCTCTATACCTGCTCTTTATTTATTCATGTATGAAATATGAAACATGAAATATCTGGGCAATATGAAGGTTGAAGCCAGATGATGTTTAAGGTCCCTTACAACCCAAATCATTCTATGATGCTATGAATTACAAAAATTTGAAGTTGCAAGCAAAATTCTGATGCTCTGCAAGCAACCTTCCCTTTTCCAGCTGCAGAAAACCAAAAGTCTCCATTAAAACCTTCCCTTTCCGTTTCCCTAACTCTGCTTGGAGCCCATCTAGCAGACCACCTCTACTCCTTTATTCTGGAATTTTCTTTGGAAGTTCAAGGAGCAGAGAGTGGCACTTTTTGCTGTGCTGTGGACAAAACCAGCCCCGTGCCTCAGCAATCTCCTATCCACTGCAGGACCTGCTTGTTATTCCAGCTCCTCCGTGGGATGGCAGGAGACAGGATCAAGAGAACCACAGTGGGTGTGCAGGAAGAAGGGGGTGACCTCCAGCTCTGCTCAAAGATGGGTGTTTATTGCTTTCCCAAGGAGACAAAGCTGAGCTCAGTCCCTTTCCTGCCAGCACTACTGAACCATTCTTATTTCCTGTATGTGGAGGTGGAAATGTCATGCCTCAGCCCCGATTTGTGCTTTTTATTTCTTTTCTTATTTTGTGGTTTCCATGTGCTAAAAGTGCCTGGGAGATGTGTTCTCTGTGATGGTGAGAGGCAGCTGCTTCCATGTGAGCTCCCAGCCCCGAAAGCAGTGCCAGCACTGAAGGTGTTACTGGAGGAAGCTTTTTTACTGCCAGGATTTCTTCTGTCTCTGGGGCTGAGGCACCACAGCAGATTGTTAACACTGCTCAGAGCAGCAAAACCCCCTCAGAGCTCTTTAGGCTCTGTTAAAATGGATTTATGACCTGCATGGGATTTTATCAGAGCACACAAGTCTGGGGTTTCTGTCCTGGTGCAGAGGATTAAACCCAAACATGAATCTCTCTCTGTCTGCTGCATCTTCCAGGAGCCAACGTTGGCACAAATGACTCTCTGCCAGTTCCTCCCTGACCAGACCAGCAGTTTAACCCCTTTTTGAAATACAAAAACTAGATTTAGTTCCCATTAGAGTCAGGGCTGATTACCCTGGCCCTTCACTCTTGACAAGGGCACGAGGGCAGCAGTGATATCCAGCAGCAGCAGAGTCACCAAGGAAGATCCATGCAGGAACCAGCTGCCCAAAATAAGTTCCAAACCCTCAGTTATTGCCCTGGAACACACGGGAATAGTTTAATAAATCTGAGAATTTCAGTGGAAGGGAGAGCTGGAGGGCAAAGGCTCAGAGCCAGTGTAAGAACTTGAGCAAGGGGCATTATAATGACATTAATGTTTATTATAATTACACCAGTAATTGTACTCAGGGAGATGATTTCTGCTTCTTTTGTGTTAGATACAAAAGGTAGAGTTCAGTTTATCTGCTTTCAATTACAAACATCTCCAAAAGGAGAAAACCTTCAAGGCACAATAGATATCCTATTTACAGATAATTTCCCTAGGGAATGATCCATATTTTTACCTTCAAAAAAGCAATTAAAGAGTATCATCCAACCAAATATCATCTCACCTCTGACCAGCACACCCTTCCTCTTGGTGAAACCCCTACAAATCCAATTTTGTGCTATGGAAACAAAGAATTGTCCCAAATCATGTTACTCTTTTTAACTCGGGCTGTGTTTAACAAAACAATTGTCATAAATATTTCAGATATCCTAAAGCTGAAACAACTCACTGAGCTACTGAGTGAAAAAAGATCAAATGAAAAAAAAGATGAGTCTGGCAGTATGATTTCATTAAGAAGCAAGTTCAACTTGCAGTGGGGACAGCAAAAATAGGAAAAAACCTCCCAAGAGCTCCACAGTGCAGCCCCTGCTGCCCTGAAAAAATGAGAAATCATCCAATGGAGCAGGGAAATCTGAGACTGATGTCGCTTCTTGCAAACTTATAGCCCAATTAGAGAAGCCACAGGGAGAGTAGACAGCTCCTCTTGACAGCAAACCCAGGAACTACTAAAGTCCCAGCATAAATTACTGCATTTCCAAAGCCATCATGTAATTTAAAACATCCCTTCAGATATGGAGCAGGGGAAAATCTTCCATAGGAAATAGATCAGGAACTCCTTTTCATTCCCTGCTTCTTAGAACTTTCCAATGAAGGGATTTTCTTTTTTTCTTAATTTTGAAATATTGTTATCTTCTCAAAAGCAAGAGTATATTATCTAGAAGCTTGATTTTCTACAAATAAATATTACCAAAAAATAAGGGAAGAATTGTACCTAATTTTTGGCTGCTTTAGTTCCTTTTCTGGGATGATCTTGCAAAGTGGTTTACACATCCCTCAGCATCTTCTCCTAGAAATAAAATAAAATAAATAAATAAATCTGCCTTTTAGGGTGTTTCTATTTAAAACAAACCCAGAAATAACCCCACTTCACCCTCCACTTTTGCCAAAGCACTTCAGAAATATAAAGCTCCCTCCAAACCGAGGTGAGGCGCTGAGGGCAGAAATAAATAGGAGGGTGTTAATTGCAGTGTAAACATCAATCAAATAACAGCTCTGGGGCTGCCAAAGTGTCACTGGTGAGGGGCAAATCTCGTGGCAACAGCAGCAGCAACCATCAGCTGAGCTCTGAAACCACGAGGTGCTCCCTGGAGGATCCTGGAGCACTTGGAGGGACACCCAGGACACTCCAAAGGGTCTCAGTGCCATGGATGCATCCCCCCCAGCTGGGCCCTCTGCCAGCACATAGCTGAAGTCTAACCAGTGAAACCACGAGGAATTTCTCTTGGTCCAATCAGGAAGATTTAAATATTCTCTAATTTTTTTTGTTTTTTGGTTTGGTTTGGTTTTTTTGGGGGGTTTTGGTTTTGTTTTGGTTTTGTGTTTGTTTGTTGGTGTTTTTGTTTGTTTGTTGGTGTTTTTGTTTATTTGTTTGTTTTTTCTTTACAGCTGGAATTTCTCAATAAAAGCTTTGCAATTACAGAATGTCTATGGGGAGAAAAAATTCTGCCAGTCCGTGGCAGGAGTGAGGGACACTGAGCAGCCACCATGGCTGGGAGGTCCCTGCATCTCCTCCCTGTCCTGTGTCCCTCCTCATCCCCATTTTTGTCCCCTCCTGCCACAGAGGGAACCCAGGGAATTCCTTCACCTCTGGCTGAAATTCCCTGTGGCAGCAATCCAGCACTTCCCAGGAGCAGCAGGTTTAGGGGGTGGGGATGGAATCCTTCCAGGAGCCACAGATCAGCAGGGCAAACTCCAAACTCACTTCTGATCAGAGAAGTTTTAAAGTTTTAATCTGATTTTTGCAGTGAAATATTAGTTCCTAGGGGAGGGGGCCCCACTGTGGCCCCACTGGGAAGCCAAGCTAGAGACACTGGTTGTTTGCTGAGGCACATCCTCTTCCCATCCTATCCTATTTTCCCTAAAATAACTCGACCAAGCAGTAATTCATGGTTATTGACTAAGCTATAGAAAATCTCAGGGGAATCAAGGAGATAAATGGCCTTTGGTTTTCCATATAGGAGTGATGGAAAGAGAGCCTTTATGCTGCCTCAGACCCTGCCAGGAGGGTTTGCAGCTTCTCTGAAAATCTGTAGGATTATATTGCTCTGTGCCTAAAAACATATTTACACTGGGAACAACAGGCTGGGTGGGAATGGCACTTTTTATACTGAAAAACCACTGGGAAATGAAAGTCCTTGGCAGATTTTTGCACCACACTGAAAAAAAAAATAGAATTTAGGAAAACATAAAGGCACGTGAACTGACGTTAATAATGGTGAAAATCTCTGGGGTTTTTGGCAAGTCTCTTTCCAAAGCAGCTCCTCATTTTGCCCACCCTCCTGCAGCTCCAGTCTCCCCCTGTGGAATGTGGTCCTGGAAGGGCAGATATTGGATTTGACCCACCTCTTCCCTGGCCATTTCTATTTTTCTGGGTAATCTCAGACTCTTCCAGCTGGGGAGGCTGTTGGAGCAAGGTTAATTCTATTAAACACAGCTGCTCCTGGGGTTGTTTAGAAGATGGGATTGCTGTTGCATGAGCAACCCTTCACGCTTGTTACTACAGCCTTAACCTTCCTTTTAAACCTACTGATTCCAGGCATAAAGGTGAGGATTTCCCTGGAACTGCAATTCCATAATTCCTGTGAGGACTCTTGGGGTGTGATCAGCACTGGCAGCACATCACGGGACAGTGCTTGTGGGAAATAGTAAAGGTAAGATTTTTAGAAAGTTGGAAAAGGAGGTTTTAGAAACAGAAAGAGCAGAGAAATTAGAGCTAGCTGCAGCTGCAAAGTTTCAAAGCAGAAAAAGTTACAATAGTAAAAAGCAAGGACATGAAATAATAGCTTGAGTTTTAGGCTTGGCTGAGACAGACCTTAAGACTGCAAAATACATGTTTAGCAAGACACTAGAAGGTTTTAAACTTAATGATGGAATATTGTGTATTGTTAATAGAAAGAAGACAAGCAAGCATTGTGTGAAGCAGGTGTGTGTGCTTGTAGTCACCAGCTAGAACAATCCCAGCAACCAGCTAGAACAATCCTAGTAACCAGCTAGAACAATCCCAGTAACCAGCTAGAATAATTCCAGTAACAATCCCAGCTAGAACAATTTCAGTAACTAGCTAGAAAAATCCCAGTAACCAGCTGGAATAATCCCAGTAACCAGCTGGAATAGTCTCAGTAACCAGCTAGAACAATTTCAGTAACCAGCTAGAACAATCCCAGTAACCAGCTAGAACAAACCCAGTAGCCAGCTAGAACAATTTCAGTAACTATCTAGAAAAATCCCAGTAACCAGCTAGAACAATCCCAGTAACAAACTGGAATAATCCCAGTAACCAGCTGGAACAATCCCAGTAACCAGCTAGAATAGTCCTAGGAACCAGGTAGAACAATCCTAGGAACCATCTGAAACAATTCCAGTAACAAGCTGGAACAATCCCAGTAACCAGCTAGAATAATTCCAGTAACAATCCCAGCTAGAACAATCCTAATAACCAGCTGGAGCAATCCCAGTAACCAGCTGGAACAATCCCAGTAACCAGCTAGAGCAATCCCAATAACCAGCTAGAGCAATCCCAGTAACCAGCCAGACCAATCCCAGTAGCCAGCTGGAACAATTGTTGCTGGCTCTACGTGAGCTGTTGCCACCTTCCTGCAGTGAGGCTGATGCTGCAATAACAGCTCAAGGAACATCTCCCAGCAGTCCTGTCCTGTTGGTGAAAAGAAAAAACCCTCCCCAGCACAGCGCTCCCCCGGGTTTGGTGCCCAGGATGTGTCACACAGGTCAGACTGAGCTCAGGTGACATCTGCCATGCCTTGGGTGGTGACACGAGGGGACAGCCCTGACAAGCCCTCTGCTGTCACCTTCCCCAGCAGCAGCAGTGATTCAATGGCTACAAGAGGAAGCAAATCACACCCTTCCAAAAGCAGAGAGTTCCAGGAGCAAGAGGAGCTGCAGTTTGTTGGTTTTCAGCACTGATTCATGCACTCAGCCTGGATGTACATCAAATCCTCAGCTGGAAAAGCAGGATCATTGTTCCCAGAAAAATACAGCTTGCAGCAGACACCACAATGTATCTCTTTTCTTCTGCAGTTACTCATGCAGTTATTACTTACAGTCTTGGTTGGCGGATTCGAAAAATTCAAACATGAAATTAATTATAGTGCTCATTAATTCCTCTGCTCTGGACAAAACCTGCACAGACAAAGCAAAGGCTTTGTCTGGTCTGACGTGGCTGAGGGATCAGGGCTCTATTGCATCTTTATGGGGTTGCACATCATCCCCCAAGGAAAAAGGGTCAGCCTTTCCCCAGGAGAGAAAGAAAAACTTGGCATGAGGACAGGAAACACTTTGGGTTGTTTTTTTTTCTGTGACATCCCTCTCCATGAGAACATTTGCCCTCTTCCCCTGGGCAGGGCAGGCAGAGTTTTATATCCAGATTTCATCAGTAATCCCTTTTTTGAGCGAGCTGCTGCCCTCCACCAGGACTGCTCTTCCTGACACTGGTGGCGTTTATTTGTCATGGCTGGGGCAGAGGAGTGAATGGAATCACACATATATCCATTTCTAAGAAAGGCTTTTAAAGCTCTCCAAGATGCTTTTCCTCTAAGTATTCCTAAGGCTCATCTGCCAGACCACCAGCCATGAGGCACTATCGAGTGGAGCAGCTCTCTGTTATTTTATTTATTCCTCCAGTTGGAAATAATCAAACCTTGCTAGAGCTGGGTGGAAAAGCAGGCTTGAAATATTAGTGATATGTTAGGAAAGGAAGAGGATTGTCATCACATAATAATAGGCAAAATTATTTTTATATCTGTCATTGCTGCCACTTTTCCTGGAACACCACTGGAAGGAAATAAATTTATCTTAGCTGAACTAAATACCAACACCACCTTTGCTTTCATTGCTGCTGGGCTTCTGTATTTTTTTTTTTTTACTGTATTTTCTGTCAGTGTAGCTAACAGAAAACAGTGAAAATGTAAAGATTTTCCCAAATTCTAAAGTTTAGAATGATGTGGTCTCCTGGACCCTGATACACAAGCACAGAGCCACCAGTGCCATGGCCAAACCCCATCTCTGCAGGGAAGGAGATACTGCAAAGACCATTATTTTATAAATACCTGCCTCTTTCCGTAACTCTTGGCTGGCTTCCACTCACACACATTTTGCAGACACATTTGACCATTTTCTCTGCCCATCTCAGAGGCTGCAGCCATAACAGCTCTCTGGAGCATCACTTTTGGATAACAAGCTGTGACAGACTCACTGAGACCAGCAGGAAGAGAGGTGAGTCTGTTATGGAGATCTCATCCCTGCCCAGTGCAGGCTGCTGCCAACTCAACATTAAATTTGCATTTTCAGCTCACTCGGGTGCCTTGGAAAGGCTTCTTGGATGAGGGACAAACCACAGGAGTCTCAGCACATTTGGGCATTCAGTTGGTTCTGGGCAGCTGGGGAGAGAGCACTGTTGGCTGCAAAGGAATAGTGCCAAGAAAACATCTGGAGTGATGGACAGCTGAGTGGCAGAGATAATCCAGTGCTTAAACCATCCCCTGCTTCAAAATGCAAAATATTCAAACACAACATTTCTCTAAATGTGGACTTTCATGGAGCAGACAATACCTCTGCTGCCCTTTTTCTTGATGATATAACCCAGATAAAGTCAATGATTTCAAAGAGAAACTCAAAATGTAGTTATTTTCTTCACCCTGAAGAATCTACAGCTTTAGATGGGAGGAAAAAAATATAAGAAAATGAACAATGTACAAAAAATACGAACACTTCCTGGGGAGAACAGGACTGGGAAGATTTGTTAATGGTGTTAAGAGAGGGTTTGAAGGAAAGGAGAATATACAAGGTAGAACAGCTGTCAGGGAAATGAACTGAAAACATTTCTCCCTGCTGTGGAAAAGGACATTGGACCTTTGCTGGAAAACAAATTAAACAAAGAAACTTTTGTTTTCAAGCTATGTCAAGAGACCAGCTTTTGACAATCTTTTGTGGAAAAGATTTTGGCAAATCCCATATGTGGAGAGGTGAGAGGGCAAAGGAGAGCAGAGGTGCTGGGTCCAAAGCCATTGCTGGGGGCAGCAGTGAGGAGCTGCAGGTGACACGAGGATGAGCTCAGTGATATTTGTGACCCACAGTCTAGGGGGTTTTTTCCCAGCTTTTTTATCTCTGGAGTATAGAAATTGTCTGAATTGCTCTCTTTTTTAATTTTAACATGTGAGTTGTCCCCACAGCAACTTTTCCAGCCGCTCCACAAGAGGCTAAACTCACACATGGAAAGAGGCAACATCCCACGGGAAAACAAAAAGCAGAAAGGGCCTGATCAAGCACAAGGTTCTTTGTGACATGGAGGAAAAAAGGGGTCTAAAATCCAGCTTTGGGGGTATCTGGCTGAGCTTTTCTTTGCTGCCTAAAGCCCCATCATCAAAGCAACACAAGGACCAACACAAGAAGACAACAAAATTTCTCCTAATTGCAGTGATTGGGTGCAAAGCAGGGAAAGGATGCCCAGACAGTGTTTGGGCTGCTGGAAGAAACAATGTGGAAAGGCCAGGCTTAAAGAAATAAAAAAGAGAATACAGGTCTCTTCCGGGAGTGGAGAGATAAATGCTAAATCAGTTCTGCCTAAAGAAAATCCTTAAACTGCTCTTCAGGTCATAAAGAGAAATATGCTGCACATGAGGAATTTGTTCTTAGCTTTTCTTCATGAACGGCCTGGCAGAGGCATGAAAGAAGTCACTGTCATTTTTATAGAGAGAAAATATTTTAACAAGATGTTCTGTCCTTGAGCAGAGGCTCTTCCCTGTGCTGTGCAGCCCTTGATCCCCAGAGCCAAACGTGTGGGACTGGAAAAGCAGCTGAGGCACAGCAGCCACCTCACTGCAACCCCCAGAGTCAGCAGGAGCTGCTGGAAATGAATCCTGGGGAAGGCTGAGGTAGAAGAGAGGCTGGACAGAGCTAAGGAATGAAGTAGGGATTTATTAAGATGCCTCAATGGATCCACCTTGGGCAGCACAACCCAAAATGGTCCCAAAATGAACCCAAGGTGAACCAAAATGGTCCCAAAATGAACCCAATGAAGCTCAGACCCACACACTAAAGCAGCACAGAATGTGGAAAATATAAAAGCTAAAACCTGAGGCATCAGAACAGGCTTTTCTCCTGTCAAACACATAAATCTCTGTTCCTGAAGCAGCTCCCTGAGAAGCAGCTGCTCCTGGCCCTGCCCTGTGGGAGCAGCAGCATCCCAGGGGTGCTGGCTCCAGGTGTGCTGGGCACTGCCAGCCCTTTTACAGTGTCCCTCTGCTGCTGCCTCTGAGCTGGGAGCACAACAGCAGTTCCCAGGATAAACTAGGTGTTTTTCCATGCCTGGAACGCTTCCTGCCTTGCTGATGAGGCAAAATTTGGATGGAATCCAGGCAGAGTCCCTCCAACCACCGTCATCTGCAGGCTGCTGCACCCAGCAGGGATTAATTACCTCAGCAGAGTGCTGTGTGTGCCCTTGCCTGAGGGACAGGAGATGGGTCACTGTGCCACCAGGCTGTGAAACCCCTGTGGGATAACCTGCCTGGATGATCCCAGCATCATCTCTTCCTCCTGTGATTCAGCCTCTCCTTTCCTGCTGCCGTGGGCACAGCTCTCAGCCTTGCAACACCCCACAGAGATCCTTCTTCCCCTTTAGGGATTAATGGCCTAAATTTCCATATTTCAGGGCAAACTGGCAAAGAAAGCCACATCCTGTGTGAGTCAGGTACCATGTCCTTGTGGTTCCATCCTGCTGTGATGTGACATCCTGGGCAGATTCCTCCTGCTCCTGCAGATTCCTGCTGCCCCACGTCCAGGAATAAGCCAAGACAACCCTGTCCCAACAGCCTTAGTCCAACCTTTAAGCTCTTGAGGGTTTTGGAAATAAATATAAATATACTTGTGCTTATTCAGAAATAAATAGAATTAAACAGGGTGTTTTGCTTGTTGGTGATGGCTTTGACAGGTGCAAGGCTTTGGGGTGGTACAAAGTTGGTGATGGGACCCATCAGAGGCAAAGCATCAGCCAGGACATTTGGGCAAAATCCATGCTCCTCTCCAAGCCACAGCATTTATTCCAAGCCCAGTGTAAGGGTATTTTTCTTTCCAACAGCTCATGATTTCTGCTAAGTTATTGTTGGCTACCCTGCATTTGTAGATATTTTCACATCTGTAAGCCTGTAAAAGGTGACATTGATCTTTCTCTGTTTCTGTGGGTGAGATTGTTTTGGAAAAGGCACCTTGTAGGTGTAGGATGGGCTTTGCCTCCCCCTTTAATCATGTCACAACTCAGGTGGTCAAAACAAAAAACAAAACAAAACAAAACCATAAACAAACAAAACACCAAAAACACAAACAAACAAACAAAACCAACAACATATATATATATACATGCATACATACATATATATATATATATATGAAAGACCCAGTTTCAATTTTTGATTTTTTACAGATGCCAGCCCTTGTTTATTGCCATCAATCTGTAAAGTCAAAGCTCTTGGGGCCATTTTCACCAAATGATGACCAAAAGCAGGTCAAAAAAAACACAGTAAATGCACTCTGACTGCAATATGACTTAATTTTAACCAGCAGGAGTTTCAGGGGGATTAAAAAAAAAAAAAAAGGAAAGGAAAAGAACTTGTTGACGTGAAGCATGTGGAGTCACTCATCCAGCATTGTGTAAGGGCTGTAAATCTGCCTGGAAATGATGCATGAAATGCATCATAAAAAGTATATCATCAAAACTATAAGATCAGCTTAAAATTTATGGTAGGTAGCTTGGGGAGAGCGTTACATGTCTGAACTTTAAATCAAATACAGCCCTTCAGCTGTACAATCCTGCAAGCTTTTGCACAGAACTCCTTTTTCTCATTTCCCCCTCCTTGCAGCAGCTCTCAGCAGTAAAATCCCCACACTATTTTCTGTCAATTCAGCAATGAAAACTCTGTAATCTGGAAGTCAATGCAAAACCTGCCACAGCAAGTGAGTTACAGCAGAAGCATCACTGGTTTAAACTTTGGGGGCAAATAAAGCTCAAAAATGAAACAGAGGATTTGTCCTCTCCTGTAAAGGTTCTGTTGACTCAACTAATGCAGCTCCCCGTTCTCCTTATGACTTTAAGATGTTCTTCTGACCCCCATAACCCCACTGTAATTATCTGCTTGGTGTTCATTTCTGTTTCTTCATCTCCCCAAAGACCATTATTGTCTCCCTGTGACCAGATGAAAACCAGATGGGGAGCTTCAAGGGGAGAGATGAAGATTTGGGTGTCTACCTGATTTCTGCTGTGCCTGGTGAGTACGGGCAAGCATGATCAAAATTAAAGCATTAAATTACTCTCTAAAGCCTAATTGAAACAGTTCTTTTGGTCTCACTGTTGGGCCAAGGGTGTGGGGATCATGATCCTTCCAAATTACGAGGGGCCAGAGTTTATCTCACCTAAATTTCCCTGCATTACAAACCAGCCAACAAACTGCCCAGCACAAATCTACAGCAGGTCTCTTAATCTCTAATCATTCATCAAGAAAAGGCTGCAGAGAGCAATGGGGGAATGATTCTCTTGCCCACTGAAGAAACATAAAATAAGAGCAGTCTCTAAAACAAACCGAGCTCGTATTTTCCCTGGTATCTCCTCCAGCTTCTTGCTGATAATTCTTGAAGATGAAGTTCTGAACCACAGTTCTTTCACTTGGAGTAATTAATTCCATATATTTATATTATTGAACTGTTTCATCTTAATCCTCATTGCAGTCTGGGATGCTCTGTGCTTTCCCCTGTTTTTTGGAGCCTGGGACCCAGCATTGTGCAATCCCCCATTGCTGCAGCTCTGCCAGTTGTAGTGGAAAAGTTTGAGCAAGAAAAAAAAAAAATCTCCTTGGCCGGACACATCTTCAAAATTAATGTCAGGGCTTTGCTAAGGCTCAGCTTTCATGGCCAGCAAGAGCTGCTGTGGCCTGGATTTGCAGCAGGCTGCTGACACCTTCACCCATCCTGCTGGGGCAGTCCCAGGGGTTGCCCTGTGTTTGCTTCTGCTCCTGCAGACTGGGGGTGAAGGCTGGGCTGGGTTTGAGCATTTCCTCACTCTGATTTGGAGCTTGCAGCCTGCTGCTTTCCCAGCCACTGCTTTATGCTGCCACTGCCATCATCACCCAAACAAAGAGAAACTTTTTCTGTCACCTCATCAGCAATGCCAAAGCCAGGCTCACAGGCAACACAGAAACCTTCACAGGCAGCATAAAAACTGTGAGTAAGCTCATCCTGGGGCCAAAACCCAACACCCATCTTTGGGTTCAGGCACCCCAAAAGCTGCTCAAGCCTGACCTCTTATCAACATGTGACACATGAAATAAATTCTGCTGAGTTTAAGGCAGACACTGCTGCCACTGGGCAGCCCAGATGGTTTGTAGTGTTAACGAGAGGTACAAGAAGCAGAGCAGAAATTTGGAATTCACAGGGGGGCAGAAAGGCCTTTGTAACCCCTGAGGGAGCAGGGCTAGCTGTGTGACCCCAAAACTCACAGCCTGCTGCCCCAGGTCTCTCCTGGACAAGAGGAGGAGCAGATTTACCTTCATCCCTCGCTCAGCTGCACTGATGGGCTTCCCAGTCTGGAATTCGAGACAAAACCCTCCCAGCCTTCATCCAGCTTGGGCTGGGAGAAAGAAAAGGAATTTCCACTCACTGCTTCCCACAGTGCTGGAAAAACCTGGGTAGGGAAGAGACAAACAGGTCTGTGATCCCTTGCATGGTGCAAAAGGTGACTCTCAGCAGGACCTAAAAGAAGCTGGCACCATCACCCAGAGTGCAACAATTCTGCTTGCAAGGCCCAGGAAATCCCAGGATAAAGTGAGGGTGAAATGTAGAAAAAAGGACAGGGGAAAAAGAAGAAAAAGGGGGAAAAGGGGAAAAAGGGGGGAAAAGGGGAAAAAGAGGAAAAAGTGACAGGATTTACAGGCATGGCTAAGTCTGCACTTCAGTTTAGATGGTTTTGTACTTTTAAAAAGAATTTTTGGCTAAATTATAATTAAAATTATACTGTGGTTGTGGTTTTCTTTTTTTCTTTCTAAACAGTTTCACTGAATTTTAAACTAGGCTAAGAGACAGTGTTACCAAAGAGAATTTACTCATCCTTTTTAGGGTATTTAAAAAATATTGGTTGTTCAAACGGTGATGAAAACTGTCAAGGAAGTGCAAGACATTTATTTGTGTGCAGGAAACACAGGAGGGCAGAGGCAAAGGCAACAGTCAGCAAATACCTGAGTAGAAGGTGTGTGGGTCTCCTTTTCCAGACTCCTTGCACTGTCCCCTGCTGCCTGCACGTCCCATCCCAGCACTCCCTCTCCTCTCCAGGGTGGATTTCTGCCCCTCAGTGACACACTGCTTTGACATTTGGACCATCAGGGCAACAAATGCTGATCTCTGAGGAGCAGCTCCTGATTCCAGCACACCATGTTCTGCACCACATTCCAAGTCTCCTCTGCTCCATTTTATCACTCAAGTCTTGGCTGCATTCTTCTGCTTTTTTCCTTTTTTTTTCTTTTTGTCCTTTTGCCTATTTCTTCTTTTAATTTACTTTTTTTTCCAGCAAGCTTTTCTCTAGCAATCTGCTGGAATGAACACGCAGCCTGTGTCTGCTGGGATGGAGCGGAACATGGGGCTGAGATTGGTGTGAGCTGAATGCTCAGACAATTGTTCAGGGTGGAAACTCTTACCCAGCAGATTTTACACCAGGCTCTCTACCTGATCTCCAGGAACCTTTGCATGCAAACCTTGCAGGTGTGCTCACCAGGCAGCAGCTAAAGAGTTTGGGCTCGAGCCCTCTGCCACCACTGGCCAAACCCAGTGCCTCAGTTTCCCTGCAGGGTGCCTGGATACTCTCAAGGCCGGGTTTTGTGGATTCAGGACTGCCCACAACTTCTGCAAATGTTGGATCTGCTCTGGAGGAGGCTGAGAGGTATCTCAGCACTTTACACCAGATTTTGAAAAGGCTGAGATGCAAAACAATTTTCAGGTGCCCAAATGAGAGCAAAATCTTTTCAGTTCAGCCCTTCCTCACCTTCACAGTGCTATAAATCCAGTGGCTGTGCCACAGGGAACATCCCAGAGCCCTTCACCTGCAATAAGGAAGAAAATCCCTGGAGAAAAAGAGGATCAAGAAGCTTCCCCTGGCACCACTTCTCGTGAGCTTTCCAGGGAATTTGGGACCTCTCCCACATGGGTGCAGCCCCAGGTTCTGGGAACAAAGCAGTTGTCATTTGCTCTTTTGATTTCGGGGCTTTACTCCTTTGCAAAGGATCTTTCTTGACTTTAAAACAAAAGCCTGAAAGAAGGGAAAACAACAGATCCCCAGGGAAAAAACACTAGTTAGAACATAAAAATCTAACATTGTTAGATTTTAAAAATACATTACTTTTAAAACCATTCATTTAGGGGCTGGTGATGCTCTTGGTACCCTTAAAGGTGGACACAGAGGCTCAGAAAATTCAGAGCAGGGGACTAAGCAGCTCCCTTCTCCCAGAGGGGCATTGCAGAGCTTGGTCACGTTTTTCCTCCTTCTCTCTCAACCCAAAGCTCCTGAGGTCACTTGAGCAGGTCAGGGTTGGGTTGTGTAGCAGAACATTTGCATGGGAACAGCCCTCCCTGCACAGGTAAGAGAAGAGAAAAACTGAAGTAAATTATTAAAGCAAGAAAAAATTAATTACACTTTTAAAGTAAGAGCTATTTAAGTGAACATCTAAGTAGGCTTTGCTGGGTATGAATGAGGCTGCAGAGAGGTGTCCCAAGGACTGGGTGGGCTGTCACTTGTCTGCCCCATCCCATGTGGATCCTCCTGGATGCTCCAGAGCTGGAGGCATCCCAATTTTGGGTGGGGAATTCCTTGGGAGAGCTCATTGCAGGCCTTGGAGGGAAAGCCCAGGTTTGTGATTCCCTTTGCAGGAAATAAAAGGCATCAAGCCTGACTCTGGCCCGAGCTTGGCAGTTTGCCTGTGGAAAACATAACAATAACATAACAATATGTAACGTTCCTCATGCCAGTGGAGAGCCCAAAAACTATTTTAATTCTTGGTTTTGGTAACTGAATCACAATAGAGAATTCAATAGGACATTTTTGGGTTCTTGACTCACAGTCCATACATTCCTCCTCCATATCCTGGGGAGGTGCTGCAGCCAGGATTATTCTGGTCTGGAGGCACTTAAAACCAGTTTAAGGGTAATCATGGCACATTTGTCCAGACCTAAGCAAATTCCACCCAAGATTCCCCCAAGCATTTTTGGTTGGTTTGAATGGCTGAGGGAACCAGGAGCACCTTGCAACTCTGAGCCCACAAAAAGCCACCTCAAGGTTCCAACCACTTGAAGATCAGCAGAAAAATTATTTTGGAAGGATCACGGAAAGCAAGATGGCTTTACAAAACTAAGGATTTATATGAAAACATGATGGTGGTGGTGAAAAGGAGCAGTGAGGGAGAAGTCTGCACTGTCCCCCTGCCATCACTGTCCCAGCAGAGCACTCAGCACTAACCACCCCTCTCTTCCTTCCCCTGCACCCACACTTTTTTTGGTTTTAAAGTTCCCCTGCCCCTCACTTTAACTAATCAGGGCCAGCCAGGTGTCCACCTGTTCCCCTCAGACTGAAGTGAAAATTCATTAAAAACCAAAACACAGGACACACACTGGAGCTCTCCAGCAATGGAACAAAATCCAAGGAAATGCCTCGGTGCCGTTGTCCCAGGGAACGCTGCCTCTCCTCTCTGAGCATTTCTCCAACAGCTGGTTTGAGTTGCTGGGAGTGATGCTCCACTGAGCCCTGGGCTGCTTCCAGCCTGAGGATTCAAGAACAGAGTCAGGACACCTGTACCTAGAGGCAAAACCATCCAAGTCTGGCTGGATGTGCTGCCTGAGAGAGATTATTCTTTTCACAAGGGAAGGAACTATTCAGCCCTGCCTATCCTGGAAAGACAATACTGTATTTCTTACAAGAACTGGGATATTAATCCCTGGCACAACTCAGGACATTTCTTTGCTCTCCTGAAATTCCCCCACCCTGAGTTTACAGTGGGTTCATTAATCTTTATTCCCCCCTCAAAGTAAACAAACCCAGCTCCTGCTGCCTTGCCAGCCTCGTCTGTCTGTGCAGCCCAGCCTGGAGTTGCAGTGGTGAAGGAATGTGCTGCAAGGCTGAGCCTTGCCAAGCCTGAGTTTGGATCATTCTGGCCTCTCCAGGCCTTTAAAAACTGACATATTTTGCTACCTACCCTGCTCTCCTGATGGAAGCAGCTCTGCAGCAGGCAGGAGGCCACCAGCACCCCTCAGGGAGAGGGTGGGTGCTGTCCCTGAGCTCTGGCGGGATCTCACTGCTCTCTGGAGGATGCTGGATCAGTCTGGGACTCGGCACAGATAAAATAATCTGAATTATTTTGCCCCCACCTTTCTGGGAGTCACCCTGGGCTGTCTGGTCAGTGCTGTTGGTGTGAGGATTAAAGAAGAGATTCTGCAGTGACAGCTCTGGGCACAGGGCATCTGTGATGGAAGAGCTTTGGCCTCAGCCCTGCACCAGTGGGATCAGGGGCTGATCCTGCCAGAGCAGTGGGTTTTACTGCTGCAATATCACCACAGCATAAATAACCAGGCAAAGAGAAAACAGCTCAATTTATAACAATCCAAAGTGACACTCTAAATCTCAGCCTATAAATAAACACCCAAACAAATAAATCTCCAAATTCTCCAAATAAATACCCTTGAGGCCATTAGTAAGATACACCCTCTCCACCTCAGGCTTTTTCTAATGAGCAAAAGTGAAGACTTTAAATAAACCTGGCTCATGCCAAGCTCATGGAGCACAGCTTTGCCAAAAGGCAAAAATCACCTCAGGTAGATCTGAGCTGCTACAGGCACCAAGCAAACAGCTCTGCAGGCACAGGAGTTGGAGCTGTTTATCACCAGCAAGAAGTGAAGTGACCTGTGCAGCCAAACCTTCAGTGGCTCTGACAGAAATGTCAGGATATTCCCCTTCCAGGACCTGGCACAATGTCTGGCCAGACACGGGGCCTGTGAGTGATGGAAGTCCAGCTCTGGCTGGGCAAGGAGTCAAACTCCACAAATCTCCATCCAAGCCTCACACCTGGTGGCACTTTGAGCCACTCCAGACAATCATCTGGAGTTTGTGCTCCGCTCCTCCAGCCCTGTCCAGCTGCCAGCCTGCCTGCCTGCCTTCTCTCAGAGAGAGCTGAGGGCATAATGCCAGCAGATCCTTCCAAAAACAAAAGGAATCCTGGGAAAAAAAACAGGGTTTAGGCAAGCTTAGACTGATGAGGAGGTGTGAGACCATGTGGCTGTCAGGATCCTCCAAGCCCCAGCTGGAAGAGGCCCAGAGTCACAGGGCAATCTAACGAGGCTCTGGTGGGACCAACTCTGACTGAAACAGGGATTCTACACTCATGGAATCTCCTAAATCCACAGAATCACAGGATGGTTTGGGCTGGAAGGAGATGCTCCAGACCCAACCTCCTTCCATGAGAAGGAATTTCATCAGGTTATTCACAACCTCATCCAGCCAAGCTTTGAAAATCTCCAAAAAAAGGGGATTTCACAGCTTTGTTCCAGCATTTGAACACAGCTGAGGGGCTCCTCTCTGAGCTGACTCCTGCATGGGCACAGCATCATCAGTTCTGCAGGTTCCTTAGAAGCTTCAGCACTGGCCACAGTTCCTAGGGGCACAGAATTAACTGAAATTTGAAATAAAGCCTTTGTTGATGGACTCAAAATATCCAGAAGTCAGGAATATGCTGTTTTTGTCATACTGACTCTTTTCATGGTGATTCACTCTCCAATATTTTTGCAATGTCAGGGTTGCTGTCATCTCAAAATAAGGCAGAAAGCCTGAAAATCACCAGAACTGTGACTGCATTAGACACAGACCTGGCCACTCAAAATTAAAGCAACAAAACACAATTTCCCTGGTGTCCCATTAACCTCAGAAACACAATAGAAAAACTGAAGTCACAATTCAGGAAAAAAATTATTAAATAAAATCAGCACCTAAATTGCTCCTGAGGAAACTGCTCTTGTAAACCCTGCTCAAGCAGAGATTCCCTCCAGCCTCAAATACCCTCTTTTGGATTTGGTGGGACAATCACAAAATCACAAAATTTTTGTGATTTTGGTGGAACTTCAAATAATTTTTCACATGAATGTAACTGTTTTGAAATGTGCATTTATGTGCATTCCTGAACCATAGCATTAATGGGGAACTTGTTGATAAAAATGGAGTAAAACTGAGAAATTTTTCAACTATATTTGATGCAACACCAAGCCTGGTCCAGAGATTAATTTATTTTTTAATGGATTTCTCTGCATGAGCTCCTAAAGTCCTCTGTTTACCAGTGGGGCTGTTATACTCATACTTGTTTTCTCCCTATCAAAACCACACACCTTCTTTATTTAATTTATTGCACCAATTGCTGGAATTGTGCAACTCCTGTGGATTCTTTCTAAAGCCTTCAGACAGATGACATCCAACAGGGGAAAAATAAAAAAAGCCAAAGGAAAAACATCCTTCTCAGAGAGAAAGAACCTGAAGACTTCTACACCTGGCTTCCAATTTTTGGCAACAGCAAAACCCCAAATTTGCATATTTTAACACACATCATTTTGATAGAAATTTGGAATCCTTGGTGTCCTGACACTGAGTTCCCAGAGGAAAATATGGCCTGTTAAAAGAAGGTCTTTGAGATGGATAAAATCTTAAAAGCAGACACGGGGTGCTGGGAAGGGATGGAGGCTGAGGGAAAGGGAACATGGACAAGGAGAAGGATTGGAAAAGGGAGAGGGAACCAGAGGGGGAATTGGGGTGGAGTTTCTGCACCAAAGGACATCACCCGCCCCACCTTCCCTTCCACACGTCCCATCCATCCCACATTTCAATAAATTTAGGTCAAAAATGCCAAAAGTCCAGGACAGAAACCCTTGTGCAGCTCAGCTGGTGGGGAGGACAGTTTGCTTGCAGAGGAGACAGGAAGGAGATGACTCATCAAGACCTCACCAAGCTCTCCTCAGTCTCCTGACAGCTGCAAGAAGGACCACGAGGCTCAGCCTGTCCCTGAAGATAATCCAGTCCCAGAACTGGGACAAAGAACTGGGAATAACCCTGGCAGTGGAACAGACAGGCTCTTCCTGGGGACAGAAGCCAGAATACGCTGATTTATGGCAAGAGGAGGAGGGATTTATTTTCATTATCCAAGCCAACCTGAATCACTGTAGAGGCAAGAGATCAAAAATAAAGACCAGGTCCACATCTTTTCTTGCTTTAATTGCAGTCACTCCAAGAGGATTTTGTTTGAACAAGGGTTCCTGATGTTATGTCTGCAGTGAAAATAAAAAATAAAAAAGTTTTCATTTCAGTTTGGTCAAGCCCCATGAGCTAACCTGGGCTGAAATAGAGGTGAACGGGGTCCAGGAGCAGGAGAGGGATGGAGTGGGTCAGATCAAAGGTGCTCAGGGAGGATCACCCAAGCACAGGAAGCTGTGGCTAATCCCCACACCACATCCAGCCTCAGGAACCCACAGCTTTAGGGAGGTTTGGAGTCACAGGTCCCAAACTGGACACCTTTGTGAGCCTCTCATGGGCCAGCCCCTCACACAACAGCAGAGCCTCCTCAACGTCCCACAGAAATGAGCTCCTGGCTTGGAGAATGGACTGTGGAGAATTACTGCTCCTAAGCTGACTCAAACCTGCTGTGTGGGCACCCAGCTCCTCCAGGTAAAAGCAACAGCCCAGAGGTGATTTGGGTTTAGCTTGGGATTCAATTAAAATTAAAATTGCTGAATTTAGTGAGAGCCTCTGTTGGTTTTCCTTCTTTCTCTTTATGCTTATTTTCATTAGAGATAATTAATATGTATTGGTTAACTGGCACTAAAAACATATTTTCCTCTTTCTGCCTTAAATTAAAACAGAATCAGGATGTAGGCATGATCTAAGCCAAGGATCCAAACACACTCCAGGCTTAAGGAAAGCCCAAGTTCCAACCTAAATTTTGTGCTTGGATTCAAGGAAAAAACTATTTCAGTTTGATGAGAAGAGTTTCTTAATCTACAGAATAGCATTCCATCCCATTTTTATTCTGTCTGAGTATACCTGATTGCAGCAAGGATGAGTGATTGTTTTTCCCAAGGCTCCAATCCCAGTAGTATACATCCCTTCATTTTTCTTTCTTTTTCCTAAAGACTTTTGGCAAATAATTTCCATCTCTGGCTTCTTCTTCCTATTTTGTATAGGAAGGCTCAGGACATGCCTGGCTGCACAAAGGGGTCACCCTCCAGGTTACTGATTAGGAAATAGTAGGGTTTGTCAACATCTGGCCCTGACGAACTTTTAAAATATAAATACAGATGGTTTTATTTAAAAGGTAAAAGGTCCAAATTCAACTCAAGGATGAAGCCTGTTTTCTTTCCAATCTCATTTTTTCCCCTGGATGTTTGGTACGCTGTGTTCCGTTGCTGTGAAATGTAATCACATTTATATAATAAACCATAATTAAGAAAGGGAAGCATAAATTGGTAGTTCTTTCGTTTTGTGACTTATTCAAGAAATTTCTAGCCCAAACTGAGTAGAATTTGTATATGTCAAATATTTCTGAGAGCTTTTTCCCATGTTAAGAGGCAACACAAGCCTCACTGAAGTAGAATAAAGAGGATAACTTCTCTAACTGATACATATGTGGACTAGAAAATTAATTCTCTTCATCCAGGGCTTGACTCTGAAGTCTGCAGCTGAACGTCTCTACGTGAGCTCTGATCCTGTTTAACTGTGCAGCACCTCAAGTGCAGATCCCATTTTAGCAATTCTTGCCCAGCTAGAGATTTCTACCCCAGAAAATACAAGTCAAAGCCTTTACAATCCATGCCCATAACTTTTCTCTGCATAAAAGCTCCCAGACCAGCAGCAGGGTGCTGAATCACCAAGGAAAATTGCACAATAAATTCAGCATAACAAGAACAAACTCCCCACCAAACCCTCCATAATCCACGAGGATAACCCAATATTTGGCTGTCAATAAATCCTCTGATCAGGCACCTGAATTCAAGAAATCACCAACCTGTATCTCAGGCCTGACACTTTCAGTGACCTTTGGATGCTGCTGCTTTAAAAATACCATCTCATGCACTCCTCGTGCCCCAGGGCTGATAACCCAATAAACCCATGGAGGGGTTTATTTATCTTGTCATTTCTTCCTGTTTTGCTGAGGTTTCTCATCTGCCTGTCCCTGACAAAAGCAAAGGGATTCACTTGCTCTGTGGAGTGTAATCACATCTATATAATAAACCATAATTAAGAAAGGGAAACATAAATTGTGAGTTCTTTCATTTTGTGCCTTATTCAAGAAATTTCTAGCCCAAACTGAGTAGAATTCATATTTGTCAATTTTTTCTGAGAGCTTATTCCCATGATAAGAGGGAACACTCTGTGTTGAGCATAGCAAAGACAGAGGGTTTTTTGTGGGAAAAGGGACAAGGGGAGAAGCACAGAATCAGCATTGTGAGGGCAAAAGGGCTGGACTGAAAACATTGTTTTTATCAAGAGGGGTGAAAAAATCCAGCATTCCTTAGCTAGGAGTTGGATAATGCCCCTAGCAGGGCACCAGCAGGCCTGGAGCAGAGACAAAATTTTGGAGATTTAAATCCTGGGAATCTGATTGTGTCTGTGCTTGGTGTTCAGAGCAGTAACTGGGGTGGGTGTGGTGGTGAAAAAACCCTTTAATGTGAGCCTGGAACTAATTAAAACATCCTGCTCTGCCTTATCAGAGTCAGGTCTTTGGGCAGAGCCACGAGTCTGGTCTGGGGTGTTTACAAAGGAACAAGGAGAGAACTTGCAAAGGGCAGAGCTGGTGCTGCACCAAGAAGGGGTTTACAGGACAGGGTTAAATTCCAGATATTCCTGGAAAACTGCTGAAATGAAAATCATCAAGTTACACAAAGAAGAGAAGAGGATGGTATGTAGAAAGGGGGGACAAACTGTGAGTGAGGGGCTGGGAGCTGGGGCTGGAGGGGATGTGAAAATGGGAAAGGTGATGGGAGTAAATTCAAAGGGAAGCAGAAAGGAACAGCTGGGGGAAAAAAAAGTTTGGAAAACAGTGCCTGAACAAGAATTTTTTGTCTAACCTAGAAAAGCAGCGACAGGAGATGAGAAATGTGTGTTCACAGCTAAACACATAAAGATCATTATCAAGGCAAAGGCAGCCAGCAGCTCTCCAGGAATGCTCCAAGGAGCACATGAGGCCTTTGGCTTTATTTGCAACAAATACCTTGAACATATCCAGATTTAAGCACTCCATGAACTTGTTATTTGTTAGGATTTCTTTTTCCCTCCTTGGCAGGAAACACCCTGAAGGCAGCAGAAAATATATATATATATATAAAAAATAAATTAAACACATGCAGCAAATATATATTAACTACACATCTTAGTCACAGAAACCCTGGGAAAACTTCAATTTGGCACACAAATGTGGTTGATTCTGCCACAGGGACTCTGTTTTCAGAGCAGTTTTTGCACCAAGCCCATAAAACTGATACCTGAGCCCCTGGGAGCAGCAGGAGCAGGGAGTCACACTTTGGGTTTTTCTCCCATAGACATGCAAGGCTGCTGCTATGCAGAACACGAGGTCCAAACGCACCAAGCAGCACCAAACTATACTTCACAAGCAGATTTTTTTTGTTAAAATATGGGTTTCATTTGACTTAGGAGTTAATTAAAAGAAAAAGGGGAAGACGAAGCACCATTTACTTCAACAGCTGCCCACTGTTCCTTCTCCTGCTGCCCTGCAGCACATCCTGCTACTGCCCCTGAGCAGCACAGTGGCATTAGGGGGGCTTTTTCACCCTCAGTAACTGAAAAGCAGAAAAATAAATCACAGAGGCACGAGCTGAAATCCCCCCAAAGCCCCACCAGTGACCTCAACAGCCTCCAATGGATCCTTTGTGCAGGGCACAAATCTCACCCAAAGCCACTCATTTTTTCTGTCTCCTGCTCTGCTTGAGCTTTGTGGAAGCAAAATTCCTGCAGCACCTGCACTCCTGCAGTGCCAGGCAAACCTGGGGCACATTCCGAGCTCTGCTGTCCTAATTAGGATGCAAATAATCAAGGTTTTACTCTGTGACGTGGAACCATGCAATGTTTCCTGGAGCAATCCATCCCACCATCCAGGTGGGAGGTGCTGGAACAGCTGACAGGGGCTGCAGCTAGAAAACTACACTGGAGATTGTAGGAAAAATTCCCAAAGTTTCAAACTCCATGTGCAGCTGCTGCACGGAAGGCAAAACAGGATGTCAGCTGCACTGGTAGAGGAATGTCCTCTAATTGAAAAGATTTGGTTATTATTGTGTGAGGAAATGATAAAATCTAGAGCAGGGCATGGTTTGGTCAAGCAGTGATATGGGAAATAAATGATATCAGTTCTCCAGGCTGAAGACAGAGAAGCATTCAGGACAATGAGTTTATTCTCACTTCTCACAGCCTGTGGTGCATGGATCAGCTCTCACCTTCAGGAGAATGATGGTTTGTGTGTGTTTGCTCTGCTCAGCTGAGAACAAGTGGGAAATAGGCTTTCAAGCAAGTTCCTGTGTCAGCAGAGCTCTGCAGCCCCACCAGAGACACCAGAGGCAGCTCTGCCCCCAGCACCTCTGCTCGCAGTGCAGTGCCACCAGAAACAGCCCCAGGGACACCAAAAGAAACCCTACAACAAAAACAAGAAGCTGTCTCAGTGTAAGATGACTCTCAGGGTCACCTCTGGTGATGTGACCTCAGACAACTCTGGTTTTTACACAAGGAACTGCATTTCAAAGGCATCCGAAGCAGCTTGGGCTCCATCTGAGTGACATTTCACACTTTGCCACAGGTAACCCAAATATTTTGCAGACATTTCTCCACCAATGAAAGTGAGAAAAAGGGCAAAGCTGCCACTAAATTGAGCTAATGATGCAAGGCTAATTAGTGGAAGAGGTGAGTGCTGCACTGCTGGCCTGCTGGGAGGTCAGAGCCAGGGGGAGTTTGTTGATATACCTTCAGAAAGAGGTGGAGAAGCCAGAACAGATGTGCTCCCATGGAAAACACAGCTCTGGGGAGAGGTGGAGCCCAGCTGGGGCAGCCACACATGATGATTTGTCCACCAGGGCATGAAAAATGGGCATAAAGACACGGAATGAAACCACACTTCCCTAATACAGGCAGGACAGCTCCTGGATTTGGAGAGTGAGAAAGAGCAGCAATGTTGACACCTGGAGATATCAAACCCCTCTTTTCAGAGGGGATGACAGGACCTGGAGGGATTTGTGGGATCCCTCCAAACCCTCTGTGTCCCTTGGTGCTGCTCACACAGCCAAGCCCAACACCAGAACCTCAGGGGTGGCTGCCCTCAGCACCAGTTTAAACTGGGCTGGCCTCCTTGTTCCTCCCATAATACAGAATTTCCTCACCTCAATTAAAGGCTGAGGTCCTTTTCCAGTCTCTCAGCCATGAACTGAAGATTTGTGGGGTCCCCAGGGATGTTTGTTGTTCTCCAAGGATGCAGAGGCAGCCCAGATGCTCAGCAAAGACCTCGTGCTTCTCATGAGGCGCCTCATGGATCCCCTGGGGAAAAATGAAAACAAACCCCAAAACCCAAACCCAGAGATTTACATAGAGACACTGTGTTTTCTCAAAGTATCAGCAGATTGTATTTTTTAAAATTTTTACTCATTCTGAATTTTATATGTAATCTCCTGGAGAGTACCATGGTTCCTTCCACATGGTCACAGTAGCAGAGGTCTCACAAAAGCAGTTTGTGTTTTCTAACATCATCAAGAGAACAGCAAAGAGAAAATGATCTGTCTGGGATATTTGAAAGCATTCCTTTTGCTCTGGTTTGCAAAAGAGCAGACAGGCCAGATTTCTGCCACAGAAAAATTCAACAAATGGGAGAAGGAATTTGAAGGAAACTTGAAACTGGCAGAAAAGAGAAGGAAAATAAATTAGGGAGATTTATTTTAGTCTATGATTTCATTTCTGAAGTCTTATATTTGAGCATTATCTGACTATAGACACTGGTCATTTTTGCTAAAGCATGTAGCTGTTTATCTTTTCTGCTCTCCATGCCATGATGTTTTTGGCCAGAAATGGGTTATGTATCAAATTCACACCTTTCTGCTCATTTCTTAATAAAAATCAGCTAATTGCATCACCCCTGCTCCCAGCCAAGTGGAGATTGTCATTTAACTTGGCCAATTACAATTTCGCTTTTTGTAAAAATCATAATATTTTTAGCTATTTCTTTCTCATTTGAGAAAATAAACTTTGCAAAACTGCATCAAACTTGCACAAACACGAGCTGATTTGGAGCTGAGAAGTGCTGCCCTCAGACCAGGGCATTTCCCCTGAGCCAGTGCAATCATTACTCAGTGTTTGCCCAAGAAAAAGCACATGTTTAAATTTTGTCCAAGTCTCTTCAGCTTGTGTTACCTCCAGTGCAGGTCTTCAATACTTGGATGAAGGGGTTGAGTGAAGTAAATGGAAATATTTTCTAGCTCAGGGGGTCTCACCTTGCAGCCCCACCAGGTGAACTGGGACAATCCCACTCATCCTGTAGAGCAGAACACCCAAACTTGGTTAAAGGCTAGCAGGCACAGATGCTGGTTCATCCTCCCTGTGTCCATCCCTTCCTGGCCCAGCCCTCTTGGCTCAGGAGCAATCCAGAGGCCATCCCATTCTCACCTCAGCAGCAGCATCCAAGTGTCCAGGCTCTGCTCCTGGCCAGGATTCCTCCTGCAGAAAGATAAAGAAGAATAAGAAGAATGCAAACATCACTCAGCATGTCCAGTGGTACAGGAAATATCCACTTTTGGGACAAAGTCTTTTCTTTCTAGCTCAGACAGGTTGAAAATGATCTGCTGGGAGCTCAGCCTGGTTTCCTAAGGAAACAACAACTCAAACACTGCAAAAGCAATGAAGGTTGGCACTGGGGTGGTGAGGCTGCTCCTGTGTTCCACCCTCTTCCCCCTGCAATTCCAACTTGAGCTGGCTCCAGCAATGTGACCCAGACTATCTGCCCTGGCTGCTCTTGCAAATTACCTCCTGCCTGCAGAAGTCCTTCAATTCAGCTCGTGCTGCTTGGGGGTGTCCAGAGGCTGAGTCTGGACAAGAGCCCTGAGCTCAGCGTGGTCAGTCCAGCCCCAGGGCACCTCCAGCCCCCCGAGGGTCCCAGCCCAGCTCCCACCTTGCAGTGCTGTGGAAACCCAGAGCACTGGGAATATTTCTCTGTCTGCCCTGGGGTGCCCTGACCCCCAGGGCAGCACTGACTCTGACCCTCATTCATGGAGAAAGTTTCCCAGAAAGTAGACCAGAATCCACAAAAGTGTGAAATAGATTATGGAGAGCAGTGTAGGTGTGTCACTTGGTGAGAAATTTAGGTTTTGGGATTTTTAGGATGTTGTGGATGGAAGCAGGATGGAGGGCACAGGGTGTTTGTTGTCCTGGGGTTCTTCTCCATGGGTTTGGGTGGCATTTTGTAAGTAGACAGGAAAGTCCTCATTGCAGCTCTTTGGGATCAGTTATTGGGTTAAAGGGAAAATAATCTAGGTGTCCTTTCTCAATTGGATAGTTCAGTCTTAAAAGACCTTGTACCAAGAGATTGTTAGGCATTTTGTGCCTTGCTAATGAAAGGCTGCAGAACTCATGGTTGTGAGACTGTTTCACTGATAAATAATAAACACCTGAGTCCCAATGTGAACTACTGTCTCAAGTGCCTTCACTCCAGACCCAGAGAAACCAACACAGTGCTAGGAAGCAGATTTGGCCCAGAATTTTAAAGCAAAGCAAAGCAAAACCCTGTGCAGATGCCTAGAGTCAGGAAAAGCACAAATGGTTTGAGTTGGCCTGCTGAAATGTTGGCCATGTTGTTTAATTGTACCTTTGTACACCAGATTCCAAGAAGGAGGAAAAAAGGCAACTCTGTGCATTTTATTGCTGAGGTCAGGTTCCTGTCTCCCCAGTCCTGTTTCTCATTCTCTAATCAAATCATTCCTCTTAATACAACCAGTTCCTAAAAGTCTGCTTGCCATAAAGTGCTTTAACCTTAGAATCTTATTTACTATGACCTTAATTGAAGGGTTTATTCAGGCTTCATCTATAAAATGTTTTGTGCAATCAGCCAAAAGCTCGAGATCAGCAGCAAGGCTTGAGCCCAGAAATCAGCTCTGCCACACTCTCAAGGTGACCTTAAACTGGATTGCAAAAACACTCTGGAAGTCCAGAACAGCACAGCACATTTAGAGAAAACTATCCCAGCCTCAGCAAGGCCAAAAATCCTTTGTGAGGACATAAGACCAACCTAGAATAAGCTGGGTCTGAGCCATTTCACTTTGGGACCCAGTTTTTCAAGCTCTTTCATGGTGAAGTCAAGGAGAATCCCAAATCTCTGCCCAGCTTGGGAAAAGGGACCAAGTATCTGGCACACCCTCAGGAAATCTCCAGAGAAAAACCACGGCCTGGGAAAAAAGAGATTTTTGTGATCATTCTATACTGTTGGGAGCTGCAAAGCAGGAGAACTGAAATGCCATGGCCTGGCCACTTCTTTCCAAGGAATAATCCAAGCCACTGACTTGTGTCTGAAGGTGCAACCCTTCCCTACACAGCTCCAGCTGTTGGTTTGTGACACAAGACACTTCCTGCAGAATTAATAAGAAATAAATCAAGGAAAGTCTCTCCTGCAATGACTTTATGGGGTTGCTGTGTCTTTTTACAGATCCCTTGTAAGTTCCCACACTGAAAGATATTCTGCTCAGCATCATGAACAGTCATGCCTTTATAGTCACAGCTTGGATTTCACATGGCTCTAAATAAAATAAAATTTAAAAAAAAAACACCAACAAAACAAGAACAACAACAAAACAACAACAACAAAAAAAAAAAACACGTGCCCAAACATGTTTTCTGGAAACATTTTGATTTTCAAATTATGTGTGTACTCTAAAATGAGAAAAATCCTTGACCAAGAAGAGCTGCTTGTTGAAAGCATTACTTGTTTCTTATTTCAAAGGGAAAATTGAAAACATTATGAAGGGTGTAGCTATTTACCAGTCCAGAGTGTTCTTATAAACAAAATAATACAAAACATATCCTCTTTGCTGTTTTGTTGTTTAATGTCTTCCCGTGTATCACAACGTGGAGAGCAGAACAGCGGAGAAAATAGACCATGTTTCCAAAAAGCCTTTAAATGGGAAAAAAGGACAAAGGACAATGTGTTTCAGCTATAAGTGCACAAAAAACATGAGACAGGTACCAAATTTCCATCAGAACAGCTGAAGAAATTGTGCAATTTACCTGCAATTCCAGTTGGGCACATCAGGAAAAGTGAAGAGATCTGAAGGCCAAGAGAAGAGTTGAGTTCATCCAATGGACAATGCATGTAAGAAATCCTTGAACTTCTTTGACAACCTCTCCACAGAAATCCAGCTTGAGAAAACAACATCCAAGTCAGGTTCACCATTAAACTGCTCTTATTAAACATTGTCCCTCATTTTATTGACAGCTGTGATGCTTGCCATAATTGCTTTACTCACATCATTTTACCCACAGAGAATATGAAAAATAATTCCATGTGCAGGGCCTCAAACACATCTCTGGCAGATGGGTTTCCAGCACTGAAGTTTGGGAAGGACATTTGTTCTGTCCCCTGGGGGGGACAGGCTGTGACAGTGCTTGAGAGGCTGAAGTGGAGGAGCTGCTTTGTTTTAAAAAGACAACCAAAAGGCTCTCTGTCCTTTCCTGAAGTTTGGGGAGGACATTTGTTCTGTCCCCTGGGGGGGATAGGCTGTGACAGTGCTTGAGAGGGTGAAGAAGTGGAGGAGCTGCTTTGTTTTAAAAAGACAACCAAAAGGCTCTCTGTCCTTTCACATCTGTACAACAGCTGGGCTTGCCCTGTGCTCCATCCAGGCATTTGATCAGGTTTTTGTGCTTTGTAAAGCAAGCAGGGGCCCAGGAATGGCCGTGAGGGAGGAGGGATGCACTGGCTGGCGCTGGCCTCTGCACACACCATGCGCTCAGAGCAGCAGGCAGGCACGTCAGAGAAATGCCATGGGAAGTTTATTTCTGTTTCCAGACCCATGTGATTCCCTGGGAGAGGGCAGCCCTGCCCAAATCCATGCAGTCCTTCCAGCTGGAACAGGAAACCACCCTGAGCAATGTCACAATTCAGAGCTGGGACCTGCCAGCCCCTCCAAGAGCTGCTCTGAAGCTCAGGCAGGGCTGGGGCTGTCTCCAGGCCAGCTGCCCCTGAATTTTGGGGTGGATTGAGCATGTTTGACTTCCCCCATCTGTTGGTATCACCAGTGTGGGGCTTTGGAGGCCGCAGCCAAGGTGTGAAGCAGGTCCAGTGAGGTGGTGCCAATTTACAACCCCTCCTAATGAGGTTTTATTGTGCCTGAAAAACTGAGCATCCCATTCACACCCTGAAAAAGCCATTTACAGTTTCAGCCTCATGGATAACCCATGTGCTCCCCTGCTGCAAGCCCAGCACTGGATACCAGTTTCTTTCTTTAAGGAAAAATGAATTTCTGGGGTGAAACTTCCCTCAAGAGTCTCATTCATTTGGCCAAGGAGTTGAAGCAGGATTACAAATTGCATTTCCCAGATACCTGGGACCAGATTCTCTGAGGCATCAAAAGAGATTAAAAGATTTACCACAAGGCAGAGAAATTGTGTCTGTAAGGGCATCCTTCTGAAATCAGAAGTACGGACACAATCCAAGACCTTTGGTTCCTGCTGTCCAAATCCAGACCATGTAATGTCAGAGCTCAGGATGACACAACTGCAGGGCAGGGTGGAGTTTTCTGTAGAGCAAGAGAGCAACACAGAGTAACTGGCCACTTCACTGAGCACAGAAAAACTGTTTCAAGCAATATGTGACTTTATTTAGTATTTAGATTGGCCATGCTCTCATTTTCCCACAAGAGCACTAAAACTTTCCCTAGGAAAAGTCAACTCCCAACTTAAAATGCCACGAAATTCAGATGTCACAAGTTCAAGTTCCCCACCAAAAAAAGGTTTGATCAGAAAATGGCCACACCTCAGACCAATATTGCTAAAGCAGGCACCAAAACCCTTCAGACATCCTGGGCATCCCTGTTGCAGGCCACCCAAAGAAATTCTGCAAGCTCTCATGGCCATGAACAAAATCCCAGTTGCTTTCTCAGGGCAAATAATTCATAAAGGCAAGCACAGAAATATACTTATCTGCTCCATGATCAAAAGAGTGGCCCGAGTTAAGTTTTTGGAGAGGTCCCAGGAATCTCATGTTCATTCCAAAAATAGACCTCAGATTGATGCAAGTGGACATTGTGCCAAAGAGGACAAGACAGGGGTAAAGCAGAGTGCAAGAGCAGCAAAGTGAAATGTGGAGCTGGTTTTTTTTTTTTTGCATCCTTTGATGACTACTGATGGGAAATTTTAGCTGGAAATCATCCACAGAAGGACCTGCAGAGCCCAGCATGGTGGTTTGGGTGAATTGAAAGCAGTTGGATTTCTGAGCAGGCAACACTGATGTCTCTCTTTCCCAAAGCCATGAGTCAGGCTGTGCACAGGGATCCAACATGAGCAAAAAGCACAATGAGGGAAAATCCAGCAAGCTCCAACACGTGGCTGGATTTCCTGTGGCTCAGGAAACAGCTCCAGCTCCTTTCTTTTCTAAAAGCTCCTGGTTAAGGTTGGTTCCTCTGGGTGGACAAGGATGTGAGGAGCTCCTGCTTTTATTGTGATGAGGCACAAGCCCTGGAAATCCTGAATCAGCCAAAGGGGGCTGCAAGCAATGCAACAACATCCCTGACGTTACTGGAAAGATGTTCCACAGCCTCTCTTCTTCCCAGCCCTCCTGTCCAGAATCCATAACTCACTGACCTGGAGCAACACTGTCCTGCTGACAGGCATTTCTTGGTGGCTGATTTCACCTCCTGGCACACCATGAAGGCTTTCATGTCTGCTCTAGACACAGGCAAGGACTGCAGTAGCTCTGTTATGTTCCCTTGAGCTTTTCTTTCCTTTCTAATCTACATTTTATGAAAACATGGTCCCTCTTCATGAAGGTTCATTTTGTTCCCTCCTGTCTTGTTAGAAGCCACCCAATACTGATAAATCTATTTCCATGTCCCTATAGTACTAATGCCAAGACCTGTCACAATAATGAGTGTGGACCACTGCCCCAGCTGGTGTGAGGCAGAAGAGTGACTAAAGATCACCCCATCAGCACCATCTCTGTCATATCCTGTTCCCCAGAGCCCAGACTTACTTGGAAATGTCCTTCTCCCTTCTGCTGTGCATCACAGGCCTCGCCCCACAACGCCTTGGTTCTGGATCTGGGATGGGAACCGCCTTTCCTGCCCTGCAAATCCTGCTGCTGCCATAAAACAGGTTCAGACACCAAAACCTGGAGTGGCAGGGCAGGATGAGGCTGCAGCAGAAGGTGTGACTCCATCCACTGACTCATTTGGCACTAATGAGGTTTAACGAGGGTGATCATGGGCTCTGCTGTTCCCCAGGGCATCCTCTGTGAGACACTTCACCCAAATGTGGCACTCCCAGACACTGCTCCACAGCAGCCGTGGGGCAGAGCTCACTGAAGCCAGGGAGGGAAGGAGCAGCGGGGCAGTTTCAGTTTCAGTGAGTGGCTGTGACCAAGCCGTGCATCTCCACTCAAAAATCCACACTGCATCTTCCAGAGGAGGAACCACGCAGCTCTGCTTCCAGCCTTTGGGCTTCCTGTGACACATTTGTCTATTTTTTAATTTCTGTGCAATATCCTGTAACAAATCAGGAGGAGCACTCGTGGCTTTTCATTGGAAAATTGGTGAGCCAGCGTTACAAGCCCTGTCCCACAGCAGGCATTGCCATACCTCCCCAGTGCCAGAGGGGACAGCACGGCCATGGACAGCCAGAACCTTGGGCTGATGAAATCTCCTGCCCTGCTTCTGCCATGCTGGAAATCATTCACCTCTAAAGACACCCTCTCAAAGGTGCCACCACTCCAGAAAATCTACGTTGTCCTGCATGGCTGGTTTGGAACTTCTGATTTGTGCAGAACTGGGAGCAGGTCTGCAATGACCAGCTCAGGCCCTGGTTTATGAGATCCATAAATGAGGTCCTGACAGGGTTTTCTGAGCCTTTCTTTTCAAAGGGGGTCTGTATTCTTGCACTCTTTGCAATACTCTCTTCCTGTCCAGTCAAGACAGATGTTGAAATCTACAGTAATTCTCAGTACACTCGTTAAAAATGAGTCTGTGGTTCATTTTTGCTTCCTCTCCCAATAATTCTCTTGTCTCCTTCCTTTCCCAGGAAAAACCTTCCACACCACCAGCACGAGCTCAGTCTGTGCCCACAGCTGCTGCCACCACTGTCCCCTGTGCCCAGCACAGCCTTGCCTGCCCCTCTCTGCCACCAGGGAAGGGAGGGGAAACATAAAGAGGGGTGGGTATGCAAGTCCCAGGGGTCTCAGATCTCACTTTAATTAAAGACAGAGATCACAGAAGATAATGAGAAGATACAGGAGAGCTCAGTTTAAAGTATGGCTTTGATGAGAAACTCACATCTGCCAAAACCACCGTGCCCAGAGGGCTGGTAGGGCAGAGCTGTGGTGGGATAGAGGATTTCCCTCTGCTTTGCACACTCCCAGCTCTGGGAATGACTCCCTTGCTCATCCACCGATCCAGAGATGCTCCCATGGGTGGGATGCAGTTTATGAGGACACAAATCTCACCTCAGCACAGGGCTGGTTAAACTGGGCCTACAAATGGAGCAGCTGCAAGGGAACATCCACTTGTCAGTGACCAAGCACAAACCCAATGGTGCTGTGACAGCAGGAGTTGGGCTTTCATCCAGGCTTGTCATCCTGGCAGTTTTCCAGGCTGCCCATGCTGTTTGACCAGCTGAGTGAGCTGTTCCATTCGTTTTCCCTGAGGAAAGTCCTCTGGGAAGCCATTGATATGGAGAGGAAGGGACAAGGGATGTGTTGTCTGCCCAGCCACCGAGCTGGAACGCTGCCCATAATTTCCAGAAAACCCAAATGTTAGCTCAGGAAGAGCCAGGCTGCTCGTGGCTGTCTTTTCCTAGTGAGAAAATTTCATTTGTGTTGCGTTTAGCTGGAAGAAGGCAGAGCATCCATCCAGGAAAGCATCCCACAGAAAATGGCTTTCCTGGAAGAAGGCAGAGCCTGTAGTTAAACCCTTCCAGGTGCTTTCAGGGGAAGGGAGAAATGTGTCCTCAGCGTTTCTGGACAATTTCAGCACCATGTGAGAATCTGTCTGGAGAAGATCTGCAGGACATGCACTCATGTCCCACACCCCTGAGACCCTCAGGTTAAAAGGAAAGGAGACCTGGCTCCATGTGTCCTTGCTGGCCTCACAGCTCCGTAGGAAGCACTGTCCCTACAGCCACAGTTTTCCCTTTCCCCTTCCATTGGATCTACCCGAAAGGCAGATGTGAAGAGGAGCATCCATTCCTGAAAAAGAACTCCACCTGCACGGCCACGTCGGACCAAAAAGCTCTTACCTTTCAAGCTAATTAATTCGTGTGCTAATTAATGAATTGATTGTTCAGAGCTAAAAGCTCTCACAGAGTCCTTCCAAAACAGGGGTTTGGTTAAAGGAGCTGAGGAACTGGAAGCAAGAAGCAATTTGGGACCCCCTAAGTGGCAGCAGGCTTGGCAGGACGGGCTGCAGAGCCAGGACATGGCATCGTGGAATTACTGATGATGAAACTGGGTCTGTCATAACTGCAGAATGAAACTATTTCCTATTGGGGAAGAAAAGGAAAATAAGTTTGAGGGGGTTCAAAGCATTCAGATCACCTCCCCTCCTGACTTCCACTCATCCCCTGGATTTTGGGGACTGGCTTTCATTCAAAGTGCACAGCAAAGCTTCCCTCAGGTTTCACCAAAACAAAAAGGTGTTAGGCTCCAGTTTGAGTCCTTATCATGGTACCTTGCTCTTCACTCCTCCTTTAGCTCCATTCCACTCCACTCCATCCACTCCACTCCATTCCATTCCATTCCATTCCATTCCATTCCATTCCATTCCATTCCATTCCACTCCAGAAAAGCCTTTCTCCTTTACAGCTCTGCCCAGAACTTCTTAGTTTTCTTCAGCTGACACTTCTTCTCAATTTCAACAAAAAAATTGCTCCTCTCTTCATCCAGACAGCGTCTCAGTCTCCACATGAGCCAGCAAAAGCCAGTGAAACACCATGGGAAAATAAGGAAAAAAAAGCCAAACAAACAATAATATTAATTAAAATTTTTCATTAATGCTTTTCAACTCCAACAAGCTTTTAAGAAGCCACACTTTCAAACATGAAAAGAAATTACTGAAATAACTGCAATTTCACTTTTTAAAACAGTGTATTTTTAATTTTTTAAAAATATATTTCGATCAACAAAACCACTTTTTACTTAAAACTGCCTCACTACAAAAAATGAGGATTGGCTTTCACTCCTTTTTGATCTTTAATGAGACAGAAATGTTTTGGGGGTTTGGGTTGTTGCATAAATTTTACATAATGTGGTTGGCTTGGGGTTGGTTTCTTCTTTCCTAAAGGTCAGTCAATCAAAAAAACACCCCTCATTTATCTGTAATTTGCAATTATGGAGTCAGACCCTCCAACTCCCTGGGAATGCCCCACTGTTGACCCTTGGATGAGGAGTGCTGCTTGGCTCCCTTCCAGGGAAATTGCTCCCCTCGTGGGACTGAGACTCCAACCAATTTCACTGGGCCAAGGCCTCGGAGCAGCTCCAAGGCTGTGTCTCAAATGGGAAAAGCTGGCACACACAAAAAAAAAAGAAGAAAAAGAAAAACATAGAGGAACACATACCCAATTCTGTAATATTGCACATTAAAAAAACCTGCCTTACAGGTCCTGCTGATATTTCTGCTCCCAGTGTGTGAATTATTAATATTTAGTATCTGTGACTCACTGATATTTGCTTTAGGAGGTATTTTTATAAAGTTGGAGTGTTGTCTTGATGCAGGAGCTAACGGAGGCTCCTGTTGTTCGTGTCCAGGGAGCCCTCCCTGAACAAACTTTTCTGGTCACTGTTTAAACTGGGCTGCTGGGCTCTTTTGGGGCCCTGACCCTGGGATGGGTCAGCACTGAGGCTGGCAGGGATGGCCCTGCTGGGACACAGCTAATTTTAAACCTGGATCCCAGGGCAAAGGAAAAACCTTGATTTTACTGGCAAAACCATCCCAGCCGAAGGCTGTGCTCAGATTACGGGAAGAGGCTGAGAGTGCTCAATCCCTTTTTTGGGTACTTGGCATTAATCTTATCTGAAGTCATGGATTATATAAGAGAAGAGCAGAGACTTCACACAACTCTCTCCTGCGTCAGCGCAGGATGCTCAGGGAGGGGGGACCCTCCAC